GCATGTCCATAATTGAGTGTTTCACAAAATAAATTATCAGTTAAATTACAAAGTTCAATATCATTCTCTATTCTTGCATCTATAGTATATTTAGATATGTCCAAAATTCTTGTAATAGCTTTGGGAAACCCTGTTGCATACTGGTCTCCACAAATAAAGATTTTTCTGGGTGGGGTAGAAGAATTTCGCTCGCAGTAATCCCCTTCTTTATGACAGTTCTCTTCGTCAAGTATAGATTGTGAAGGAATACATTCATTTACCTTCTGGTTAACTGAAGCCGACAAGGCTTTGTTATTTTCACAAATTCTCAAATCAGTACGCAGTTCTGCCTCAGTAATTTCACTTTGAAGACTTATTTCCTGATGTTGAACTATTTCTTCCAGAAACCCACCGCAAAGATTATCTGCAATTCCTTTCTTTCTGGTAGATTTATTTTTCTTACACTTTTTCTTACGATTTTCGTAATTGTCACGTATATGTTCGTTTGTATTATTTTCAGACTCGTCATTCGACATGTTCAAATGCCCCATCACATTTGCACCTGCCTGCTTATAATGTTTTTTCTTGCTCTTTTTAATTTTCGTAGAAAATAATTCTTCCATGTCTACGCTGCTGGATGTAGAAGTGGGATTCTCCGTCATCGTAGCCTGGTGATTCATAAAATTGATAACTTCTGTTTGTGTATCCATACTATTCACTGCAACTACTTTTTCAACAAGTTTTTTGTTCAGCTCGCTTATCTGAAGCTCCATTTCTTCAACAAGTTTCTTCTGTGATTCTAATAATGTATACATTTCGGATTCAGATTCAATCGCTTGTTGTATTACAATTTGGCTTTCATCTTTGAGTTTTTGGATGAATTTGTCTTTTATTGCTCCATCCTCCACAAGGTCACTTATTGTTTTCTCTAATAAGCTCGTTTCTTCGTCACGTTCTTGGCCGTCTATGAAGGTGTCTTCATGACAACAAATGATTTTATTATCTTTCACAAACCTCACTTTATTCTTGTACTTTTGCTGAATGCAGCTTTTATGAAATACACTAGAACATTTTGTACATACATAATGTACAAAGGGTTTGAGTTTACAGCACTTGTAATTATCCATTTTCGGGAGCGTATTAAAGCGTACACGACCACCGACCACGACCGAACTCCGATATACATATTGTAATGATATTTCCCTTAGAGGGGCTCTAGTAACATCATCAGTAAGACAGGAGTACAACGATCATCCTGTATAACGCATCCCAGATTGTTCTCCAACCTCCCAATGATTCCTACATACACCAGCATATTTCCGAACACTCAATATATGCCGCAGTGACAAATAACGTCACAGAAGATTCTGGAATGTTCTGGAAACAATCGATGGAACAATTAGAGAGAGAGGTTTTGTTCTTAGAAGCTTCTATAGAACAAAAAGAAGGAGACGGAAGATCATTCGAGAACGTTCTCGAACCAAAGCCTTCCAAGGGCTCTCATATATAAACGGCCGAACAACTGCCGTCAGTCAGTTAAGCAGCGAGTGTCGGAGAGACAGTCATATACCGCGTGATATAAATCGTATTACATAAATAGTAGTTATACTGGTACTGGTGGGGGACGTTTCCACGTCAGCAACTAGTCCCCAATGGGACCTTTTCGCAAACCCCAAGTGTTTTCAATGGCTGATGTGGTTCGCTCAAGAGAGCTGGCTAACATCCTTTTCAGGCACCGCCCATCAGCTCTCTTATCAGAGTTTTTCAGCTGTGTTTTGTAGGCTAGTAATGTACTCACTACCATATGCGCAGTGGCAGGCCTGCTAACTATCATCGTTAACCCCCGAGACCGAGGTCTACTTAAGCAGCTGGCCCGCTCTCACGCTCAGCTGGTAGTTTCCCACACCCACCTACATACACCGTCCTACTTCTTCTCTGATGCTCACAACCACATCATCATATCTTTCTGCGTGGTCTGTGTAGGCTTTGTTACTAACTCCATGCGCCACTTTAGGAGCAGCACTGTTAATTGGAACGCAACAGCGAATCGTGTAGGACTATCCCCTGCCGATGCTCCGAAACTTTACAATATTCAATTCGTAAATAAAATATTGAAAAAAGTTCCCTGCCCGTGCTGGAAATCGAACCCACGACCTTGCGGTCGTGAGACGGACGCTCTTCCACTGCGCCAATCCCGGCTAATAGTAGTTATAAGTTCGATATAAATTAGTGTTTCTTTAGTTCAAATAAATCAGTTCGGAAATAAATAGTGTCGTGTTCGCTTCTGCACCCGAATAACGTAACAATATAATTAGTACCTATATGTAAATTTATTAGAGCGTGCCAAATTATCATGCAATTTAGTAGTGGTTAACTAAAGATTAATAATAGTAATTATAACAATAAATATGTGTCAAAATATTTTTCAGTAGGTTATGAAATGTCTCAGTAAATCAATATGTAAATCAGGAGATCTACCGAAATGGCAACCCTGCAGCGGACGAAAAGTGTTTGCGAACCAAAAGTGTGTGATTTTTTGTAGAGGTCGACGAAAATACTTATTGTCAGTACATGAAATGTTGAAGTTACTTTTGTTGTACTCAAATTTCCTCATTTGTAGTGCCTTCCTGTTACTATGTTGTGTTTTATTAATGCTATAGATATACTTACTAATATTATACAGGATGAGTCAATAGTGTGTTCTCTTTCTATATTAGCCAAACCGTCAGATATACCGGGTGACACAGGCGACATGTAGCAGCCTGTAGTTTTTTATTTGAAGAGATACAATTTTGGAATTCACAGGGGGTATATAATAAATGGTAGCGCACTTTACGAACTCAACGACAATTTTTTTCAACCACCTGTTTGATCGGAAGTGACCCCAACTTTTTTTTTTAAATGTCACCCTGTACATTTCTTCAGTCTATCTTATTCGCCTTGAAATTCTCTATCCAACCATGTATCACAAAGTGGCATTTATTTCTTAATTCGCTGTTGAATTGCTTTTTATTCAGAAAGAATGAGTTGGCTGTGACATGAATTCGATGATATATCGACACTTGGTAGGCTTTGAAATCTGAATATCATTAGTAAACCGATATCATTCAAAATGTTTTGATATTCTGATCAATGTCTGCAGGTTGTCAATAGCTTGTTTGAGTCAAGATGAAAACCTTCGAAACTAACTCATGGTATTGAGGAATCTAAGATAGGAACATATTTTTTCGAATTCAGCTACTCGTACAGAAACTATCTGTCTTTTATTTTCGCCATGTACCTATCACATGATCTTTCCATTTGGAATAATAAAACTAAAATTGTTCCTCTTATACGATGATCCACAGGGCTATCAGTCTATTTTTTCATGTTTTTTCACTTAGTAGGCGGTGTACCTACACAAAATGTTTTATGTGTTTGACAGTTAATCGATTGCATCAATAATTTTTCTTCTTCAGTTGTGTGTTGATTAAAATTGCATATTATCAATAGAGACGGAAAATGTATTTGAGAAACCAAAAAGTCGATATGTTGTTAATATGCAATTTAAATCAACACACAAATGAAGAAAAAAAATTATCGATGCAATCGATTAACTGTCAAACACATAAACCATTTTGTGTAGGTACACCGCCTACTAAGTGGAATAATTATAAAAAAATAGACTGATAGCCCTGTGGATCATCGTATAAGAGGAACCATTCTAGTTTTATTATTCCAAATGGGAAGATCATGCATGTGATAGGTACATGGCGAAAATATAAGACAGATAGTTTCTGTTCGAGTAGCTGAATTCGAAAAAATATGTTCCTATCTTAGATTCCTCAATATCATGAGTTATTTTCGAAGGTTTTCATCTTGACTCAAACAAGCTATTGACAACCTGCAGACATTGATCAGAATATCAAAACATTTTGAATAATGTCGGTTTACTAATGATATTCAAATTTCAAAGCCTACCAAGAGTCGATATATCATCGAATTCATGTCACAGCAAACTTATTCTTTCTGAATAAAAAGCAATTCAACAGCGAATTGAGAAATAAAAATGCCACTTTGTGATACATGGTTGGATAGAGAATTTCAAGGCGAATAAGATAGACTGACTGTCAAACAGGTGGTTGAAAAAATTGTCGTTGAGTTCGTAAAGTGCGCTACCATTTATTATATACCCCCTGTGAATTTCAAAATTTTATCTCTTCAAATAAAAAACTACAGGCTGCTACATGTCTCCTGTGTCACCCGGTATAGAAAAAAATCGAATACAACAGTTGTAGGGTTTCTTGGGAGCTATAACCTAAAATTATTTTCATATCAATAGGGTGTTCGAATTCCAAGATATCGGTTGATGATGGGTGTTTTCAAATGAGACACCCTGTATATCATTACATTTTTAGATTCTCCCTCAAGAGCTGATTTCATCAATGTATCGCACTTGGGGACTAGCTGAAATGTTTATAGAGATGAGTATTCCAAATCAATATTTTTCAACTTTGTGATTTTTTTGTGTTAAAACTATTTATTATTGGTCGAAACGGCTCACATGTCCCTATCTCAACTTTCGATTCACCATCTACTGACACTTGATTGGAACAAATACAGGGTGGTTCAAAATGCACGATTTCTGATCACCCTGTTTCTATTCCAATTAAATTTCAGTTGATAGTAAATCAAATGTTGAGATAGGGACATGTAAGCCGTTTCGACCAATAATGAATAGTCCTGACACAAAAAAATACCAAATTTGAAAATTTTCAATTCTGAACACCCTATATCTCTGTAATCATTTCCGCTAGGCCCCCAAGTGTGATACATTGATGAAATCAGCTCTTCAGGAAAAATTTAAAAATGCAATACTATACAGGGTGTCTCATTTAAAACACCTATCATCAGCCGATATCTTGGAATTCGAACATCCTATAGATATGAAAATAATTTTAGGTGATAGCTCTAATAAAACTCCATACCTGACGGTTTGGCTAATATCGAAGGAGAACAGAATATTGACTCACCCTGCATAGGGACCATGAGCGGACCCACACTGGGGAGAGACCATACCAGTGTGAATTTTGCGGTTCCACCTTCAGCCAGAGGTCCAACTTGCAGTCCCACAAGAGAGCGACACATTATGACGACAAACGCTATCAGTGCAGCGAGTGTGGCAAAGGTTTCAAGAGGAGACGGCTGTTGGATTATCACATCAAAGCTGCTCACACAGGTAAACAGATGACATATTTTTCATATTTTTCATTATTTCATTCTGTACTGTCATACGGTATTTCACTCTGGGGCAATTCAACAAATGCTATAGCAGTTTTCAGATGTCAGAAGAAAGCTATACGAATACTGGCAAACTTAGGCTATAGAGATCACTGTCATCAACATTTCATTAAGCTTGGTATCATGCCAATGCCTACCTTATACATATTCACAGTTTTGCTAGAAATACACCAAAATGTGAGTAAATTTGGTAAACAGTCTGACTTTCATAGTCATAATACAAGATCGGCTAATTTATTGAGAACTCCACGACACAGATTAGCTGTTAGCTGCAGAAACTCTTTAAATTTCAATATTTATAATATTCTCCACAGCTCCGTCAAAATGTTGGAATTCAAAAAATTCAAATCTGTCATCAAGCAGTTCCTTTTAAGCCATTGTTTTTATAATATCGATACCTATATGGAGTCAGCAAGTTCACTGAAGCTTTAACCTTTCATTTATCAATCACTTCAACAGGACATTGTTATTTTTATGTTTTGTTCTTATTTATTTTTATCTTATTTTTTGTTTTATATATTTCATTCAGATCATTTGATGTTCCATCTTTAACAAACTTATAATGTATTTTTAATCATGTATTCTTGTATTTTAATTCATCTATTTCTGCACTTTAGTGATTGAGGATGAAGATTATCTTTATTTTTAAGCACTATGGCTATATTGTAATTATGACTTGCCGTACATGTAATTTACATAACATGGTCAAATAAACTACTCTACTCTACTCTACTCTACATGTGCCTTTGTGTGAATTTTTTTCAGCTTTATCATCTGAAAGACAACTGTATAAGTAAAGTCCGTATGACACGGGCCAGTTTTTCACTCATAAAATGGATCATCATTGAATACAATAAAACATTCAGAATAATCTGAATCATTTTCTGTATTGTGACAAGGGGCATGCACATGTTATGAAATAATATAATAAGCAGATGCACATGCGAGTTATGCGTGTATGGTGACCTCAAAATATATTTTTGGAAAAAGATATTCAAAATTAAAGAATGGTATAAGTAATAGTTTCTCTCAAAAAATACCTGTCTGCAGTTCTGCAAAAGTGGGTGCTATGCTCAGCGTATTTGTTTAAAAAGATCGGAATGGAAAAATATAAAAAAGAAGAAACACCCGTGGGCTAGAAGTTCTGAATTTGGTATCAAATGAACATCTTTCTGGAAACCCTGTATCATATAAGTATCTACAAATTTCTCTACTCTACATGTGCCTTTGTGTGAATTTTTTTCAGCTTTATCATCTGAAAGACAACTGTATAAGTAAAGTCCGTATGACACGGGCCAGTTTTTCACTCATAAAATGGATCATCATTGAATACAATAAAACATTCAGAATAATCTGAATCATTTTCTGTATTGTGACAAGGGGCATGCACATGTTATGAAATAATATAATAAGCAGATGCACATGCGAGTTATGCGTGTATGGTGACCTCAAAATATATTTTTGGAAAAAGATATTCAAAATTAAAGAATGGTATAAGTAATAGTTTCTCTCAAAAAATACCTGTCTGCAGTTCTGCAAAAGTGGGTGCTATGCTCAGCGTATTTGTTTAAACAAATCGGAATGGAAAAATATAAAAAGAAGAAACACCCGTGGGCAAGGAGTTCTGAAATTGGTACAAAATGAACATCTTTCTGGAAACCCTGTATCATATAAGTATCTACAAATTTCATAAGAATGAATAATGATCAGTTCACTTTTGTGAAAGAAGATACAAATATGCGAGAATATATTTCACCAGAAATGAGGTATAGGTACTCAATCCACATTTCATCTTTGTCAAAGCATGTCAAAGCGTCTACTCGAGCGTTTCTGGGTGTTTGATTGCAAAAGATGAGGCAAAATTTTATCTAAATTTGAGATAACAGTAAAATTAATCAGTGGACATATATTATTTGTCATTTATATTAAATCCGTTACCTTTTCAAAATACCAACAAAGTGACATTATCATAACCCCAAAAAATTGTTTCTCACTTCAAAACAAAACAAACAATGCGAAGGTTAAATAACGGCGTTATGCGCAAGCGCTTCAACATAAAATGGATGAAAAATAGGACATGTTCTATTTTTCATCCAATTTCGCATTCAGACCCTCTGTTTCTGTAATACATGGTGCAGTAAATTCTGAATACAAATTCTCATTCAGAAAATAGATGAAAAACTGGCCCGTGTCATACGGACTTGAGTAGTAAGAGACAAAACACAAAATCATCTCCACAACGTTTAATTTCTTGAAAGGGATTAGGGAAACATGTTTCGGACATCAATAGTAAGGTAAGCTGAAAGGTAAAAAAACAAGATATAATATGCTAGGTATATAAAAGACATCATATCAGACATACTTACATGGGGATGAGAAATTATTTTATAATTTACATATCATTTCATTTAAAAAACAAACTTTTATAAAGCAAAAATTGTGTGGCCTCTTAGGGAAGAAATTTGATATTGGGGTCCAATTAATTTGGTTCGATAAAAAGTTACAAAAAATCCGTATCCTCTACTCCATTCTGTAACAGAATGAACAACATTAATGTTGACATTGACAAATGAAATGTGGTTTTGAACCCGGGACTCGAATTGAACAGAAAGTTAGCAGAAGCTCGAACACTCATGAAACTGGACAGTAAAATGTAAACATTTTCAAAATTATTTTAGTATAGAAATCAAATTTGCTCCCTAAGAGGCCAAACAATTTTCGCTTTATAAAAGTATGATGAATGTCAATTTATCATACACCCAAAAGGAAATAATATGTAAACTATAAAATCATTTTTCATCCCCATGTGAGTATGTCTGATATGTTGTCTTCAATATACCGAGCATACTGTATCTTTTATAGGACATTTCTGATATGTTGTCCTTGATATACCTAGCATATTGTATCTTTTGTAGGGCGTTTTTTTTCCTTTCGGCTGATGGACACTATTGATGTCCGAAACAAGTTCCCCTAATTCCTTTTAGGAAATTTAACGTTGTGGAAATGATTTTGTGTTTGTCTCTTACTACTTTACTCCACTTTGAGATATGGACTTCTACACTAAATTAACTGTATAAGTGTCTCACTCTAGTGTAAAATTTATAGTAAATTTTGCCTTTGCACGTCAACCGGCAGCGGCAGAGGTTCACTAAGACATTACATTGTGGAGTATAATTATGCTACAATACGTAAAAGCCAGTTTATTTTTGTGCATATACACATTTATAGACATCGCGAATTATTATAATAATTTCTTGAATATATCAAAGGCATGCTCTCGATTCTCTGTCCATTATTCGCCATAGTAAAGTATCTTCCCAAAGTGCCTATCATTTTTTTTTATTGAATTCTCTCGTTGGTCCCAGCACTAGACAATCGTCTATGGCCCAATTGTGGATCAAACCCATGTCTCGGACTTTTCGCCCTCGACCACCGTTCAAGTGAAGTCCCTAGTTTGATCGGGCAAATAACGTTCAGTATAAAGTCTGACCATTAGTCTGACAAACCAGTTGTTTGGGAATATCGGTTACGTTTCAAACCTGCCTACGAAGTTACCACGTCAACCCCTTATAGGAGTCATTGACCATTCTGGAATCACCACTGTGGTGGTACGAACGATTTGACACAGTCTTGTTCTGTCTTTGACTAATCTCTGACTGATCTATCACACTCTACTTTGCAATATCTGGAACCCAACATTTGACGTTTCAGGCGAACAGCCGTGCAATTGCGAGATCTGTGAGGCGACGTTCGTCTACCCCGAGCACTTCAAGAAGCACCGGTGCATCCACACCGACGAGAAGCCCTTTTGTGCGAGGCCCTTCATTATACTAATTTATTGAATATATCGAAGGCATGCTTCTAATTCTCTGCCCATGATTCACCAGAATTAGATTATCTTCCCAAAGTGACAATATCGGATAGTCGGAAGAATAGAACATATTTTACGATATTTGGAACCGATCATTTGACGTTTCAGGCGAACAGCCGTTCAATTGCGAGATCTGTGAGGCGACGTTGGTCTACTTCAAGCACTTCTTGAAGCACCGGCGCATCCACACCGGCGAAAAACCGTTTTTGTGCGAGGCCCTTTAATAACGTGTCAGGCGAACAGCCGTTCAATTGCGAGATCTGTGAGGCGACTTTGGTCTACTTCGAGCACTTCGAGAAGCACCGGCGAGAAGCCAATTTTGAGCGAGGCCCTTTATTATACTAATTTATTGAATATGTCGAAGGCATGCTTCCAGTTCTCTGTCCATGTTTCCCTAGAGTTAGATTATCTTCCAAAAGTTATAATATCTGATAGTCGGAAGAATAGAGCATATTTTGCGATATCTGGAACCGAACTTTTGACGTTTCAGGCGAACGGCCGTTCAAGTGTGAGATCTGCGAGGCGACATTCGTCTATCCCGAGCACTTCAAGAAGCACCGGCGCATCCACACCGGCGAAAAACCGTTTTTGTGCGAAGTGTGCGGCAAAGCGTTCAACAGCCGGGACAACAGGAACGCGCACCGGTTCGTGCACTCCGACAAGAAGCCGTACGAGTGCCTGGTGTGCGCGGCAGGGTTCATGCGAAAGCCGTTGCTCTATCAACACATGCAGGTACGACCTTTGATAGTATGGTATATTCATCGTTAAACCAATATTTACCGAGAAAAATCAGTAAAACCGTTTGTTAGCATCTTTAGGGTGTTGCCAACTGTTGTGCGTACTTTATATCGTAGGGGACTTTTGTATGAATTATTCCCTATCAAAATCGTAATTTCCTACAAAATCCTAATTTCCTACCAATGGATTACTTCAATGAATAACCAATGATCGTCTCCCCCGCCTTCCAGGCCCAAGGTCACCTCAACGACACGATAGTGGTCAACCAACCGAGGCTCACCACAGACGACGACCAGCTGGTGACCGTCAACTCGGCCGGGGAAATAGAGATCGTGGACGCCTCGTCCACCGAATCCAAGCTGTTCATTCAGGACCCAGATGGCGCCGAGCACATCATCATCGACGGACAGCAGATCGGCTTCGCGCAAATCGACTCGGACGACGAAGAAAACGGAGAAGTAAGTTTACAGACGTTGTAAAAACTTCACAAACGATAAGATTTCCACAAAATTCTCAAACACACGACATGTTTCGCTAACACAGTTGCTTCGTCAGGTGATATACTGGTAGGATGAACTAAACTAACATTGGCTTGCTTACATATCCTACTTTCCCAACCTGAAGGATTAGTTACCTGTGGACAGGTTCGATAAACCTTCATTTTCGGAAATTAGGCACAATATCTACATAAAAATACGGTGTACCGGATTAACTTGATATCAAATACATATTATTACTCACTGAGAAAACAAATTCAACAGTGGTGAACTGAGTGAGGTCTAATTGATCGTTAAGTAAACTGTCAGAATTTTTGAGTTTGTTGATTTCTGATGATTCAAAATTATTGAGTTTCATTCCTTCATTTTCTAGGTGTAGAATTTCGCAATTATCAGCAAAACTATGGTTTCTTCTAATATATGGTGGGCGTATGTTGAATTTGTTTTCTTTTTCAAAAAATTCGTCTAATGTTCATGTATGCGCTGATCAAACGTACGACCTGTCTGACCTATATATACCTTAGGACAAGATCCACAGTTGAGTTTGTATACCCCTGATTTTTCGAATTTAGAAGTTTTGTCTTTGTCATCCTTCATAAACCTCACCAACGTGTTATTTGTTCTAAATGCTACTTTTAAGTCCTGTTTATGTAGAAATGAAGCTAATTTTCAGTTGATGATCCAAAATAGGTTAAAGTTCTATAATTTTGATTATTATTCTTGATGGTAGGATAAACTTCTTGATAAGCTTTATTATGAACTTTTTTAAAAAGAATACCGTCTATCAAATGAACGTTGTATATTCACTAGCCTTGTGAATGTCCCTCTTTTGGAAGTAAATTTCAATAAAGAACTCAATATCATAAAACAGATTGCAGTCTACAACGGAAACTATCCCAACCATATAATAAAAGAAAACCATAGTTTTTATGATAACTTCGAAATTCTACACGTAGAAAATAAAGGAATGAAACTTAATCATTTTGAATCATTAGAAATCAACAAACTCATAAATTCTGACATATTACTTAACGATCAATTAGACCTCAATAGTTCACCACTGTTGAATTTGTTTTCTTAGTAAGTAATGATATGTATTTGATATCAACCCTTTCAAGTTAATCTGGTACACCATATTTTCATGTAGATATTGTTCCTAATTTCCGAAAATGAAGGTTTACCGAACCTGTCCACAGGTAGATTAGATTGGAATGGGGCCTTCGGGCTATCTGCCTCCACACTGCGACCTTTTCAGATCTATTGTGCCTGCCCTCAAAATGGATTAGAGTTCTTCGGCTAGCCCCGCCTTCTCTATGAGACTCCATAGGCTAGCTTTCAGATCTCCTGTGTATCTCTGGGCTCCTGGTTTTTCCTCACCCAGCGTAAGGAACCTTAGTCTTGACAAGCCCTCACAGTGGCAAAGTATGTGTACTGCTGTTTCTTCCTCTTCTTGACAGAACCTGCACAGCAGTTCTTCAGTCAGACCTATCGTACTCATGTGTTTGTTGAGCCTACAATGCCCTGTGAGAAGTCCCACTAGTATTCTAGTTGAACTTCGTTTCTGGCTTAGTAGATATTCTGTGAATGTTGGCGATGCCTCTCTGTCCGTTATACTTATTTTAAAAGTTTTTTCAAAGCTATATTTTGGAATTATGCCATCCGTTGGCATCCCCATGATGGGGTCGCTTTCCAACTCTTCATATAGCTTCCTATAGTCTTTACCGTGCGCGTTGCTTATGGGTGCTTGACCCCTTGACAATCTACTCACGACTGCTCTGGCTTCGCCTTGAATATATATTTGTAGTGGTGGTAAGTTCAAGAGGACCTCTAAAGCGGCTGTTTGAGTGGTTTTCATTGCACCAGTGGCACTCTGGCACGCTTGCCTTTGAATAGCACTGAGCCTCCGAATCACTCCAGTCTGTTGTGTCTTTGGCCACCAAACTACTGACCCATATGCTATCATAGGCCTGATGACGCTGGCATAGAGCCATGTGGTCATTTTTGGTTGCAGTCCCCAATTTTTTCCGCACATACGTCTGCACAGATTGAAGGCTACTGTACTTTTTTGAACAATTTTTTGTAGGTGTTGATGCCATGTTAACTTATTGTCAAAGATGACTCCTAAGTATTTTGCCTCTAGGGCGAACGGAATTTCTACCCCGTTGAGTACTGGTGACTTTAATCCTTCCAGTACTCTCTTTTTCGTGAAATTCACTATAGTGGTTTTATGAGGGTTCACGGTGAGTTCCTCCTCTTTACACCAATGTGTCCACAGGTAATTGATCCTTCAGGTTGGGAAAGTAGGATATATAAGCAAGCCAATGTTAGTTTAGATCATCGTACCAGTATATCACCTGACGAAGCTACTGTGTTAGCGAAACATGTCTTTGTGTAAATCTTATCGTTTGTGAAGTTTTAACATTTGCCATGGATTTCTATCATGCAACACTTCTCACGCGGTTTTTATGTAAATGTAAATAGTGCGTCTATGCGTTGTTCCACGTTGTTGCGTTCCAGAACTCATTTCAAACGTGCCGTCATGACCGCCATTTGGCCATTTTCTTCGATAGTCGTATATAATATATCCATATTCTTATGCTGTTTTATTATTAGTCAGATAATCTTCCATTCCCACTCATGAAGCAAGGTTGTCAAGTTATTAAAAAGTTGTGAGAGTCCTATCGTTGAATGACACCTATCTCCAAATTAAATATTTCATTTGACCTAAAAGGTGGAAGCCATGATATTATAGTTATTTATTTGTGACTGTTTTGAGCAATCAGCTCGTTGAAATATTCATTATACTCCATAACAAAACATCATGTTAATGTTGGCTAGGCTAGACACTTGGCAATGCTGTCCTCAACGCTGAGAACTGACAAGACAACGCCCACAATTATGTGTTTTCACGTTTACCAGACCATATCTCCTCTAGTGTGAATTTATTTAGTTATTATTAACATTAACACAAATTCATCATATGCAATAAGACAGATACATTATATTAGCCTCAACATACGAAGAAAAATTACAAGACAATGGGTTTTTCATATCTAATTAAGAATATCACCAATGCATTATTGATAATTTGTGAATTAATGGATATCGTGATGTCAGTTTTCATTTGCGTTAAATTTCTAGCCGTTTGAAAATTTCCGTGGCAAAACTCTTCAGATTTTGGCACTTTGAAATCGACCGAAAAAAACTTAATAAAATATGGAATTGAAAGGTAACTGGGTAATGATTCTAATTGACAATAAAAAAAATAGTCCACTCGCCTATTCGCGATAGAAAATAAGCTTACGCCACCTATCGGAGTTTTTGAAAGCTGTCAAAGCGGCATGTTTACTTTGGTTTCATTGGTTTACATTTGTTTTTTGTTTCTGCTTATTGGTCATATCATCAAAACAAACCACTCAGAAGTTATTGCCGTTAGGTGGGGCGACGTGTTATTTTCTATCGCGAATTTTAATAATGAGTTACCCAAAAATTAACAATACATAGTCTACTAGATCCGCCCTTACCTAACAGTCCTGTACAAAGCATTGAAAGTCACGTAAAAAAGGGAGAGGACTATCGGTATGGCTGCATGTGCAACAAAAATACATGTGTATTCACCCAGCCATCAGCTGGTAGCTGCTGGTTGCCTCTCTCATTTTTGGAATTCATTGGTTGGTTCTCTACATCTTTCTTTGAGCACCATCACTGTTCGATTTGAAATTTCAACGTGATATGTTGAGATTCGTGTTTTTGATGATTATTTTTCACACAATAAAATTGTGGAGGCTAGTTTGGTCAGAGAGTGTTATTCTGGTCCACTATTAGCATGGCGTCAGCCCACTGTTATCATTTGTTTAGTGATTTAGGCTTTCATGGATGTTTTTCCTTCCCTCAAGACCCCGAGGCTGTCGTTAATAATTCTTTTGTACGAGCGAAGACGCATGCGTCCATATTGTATCACGTGATTCACTGTGACAGGTTTGGGAATGGTTCGAAAACTTTAGGCTCTCGTAACTGATTAACAAATAATATGTTGAAATTGTTTTGTTTTTTCCATACATTATCTCCTTTGATGTTCCTGTAGTCGACAGCAGGTTGGCCAACATATTATAATTTAGGAAAGCATAAACATTCTATCTTGCTTACTATTGATTTATTTTTGGATTAGGAAATGCCCATTTTCCAATACATGTAATAATTTATTATACAGAGTGGGCCTTTGAAAACGAGACAGAGGCTCTGTAGGTCGCCAAAACCGGATTATGAAAAAAATCTGAAACACGCCAAACAACATTTTCGAGGGGACATCGTTCTAAAATATTTTCAGCTCTGCGGCGTTGCCGCTTCTAATGAAAAGAAGCAACAACTTTGTTATTTCAAATGGAACACCTTGTATTTTATTGCATTTTTAGATTCTCCCCGAAGAGCTGATTTCATCAATGCATCACACTTGGGGTCTAGCTGTAATGGTTTCAGGGATATAAAGTGTTCAAAATCGAGATTTTTCAACTTTAGCATTTTTTTGTGTCGAAACTATTCATTATTGGTCAAAACGGCTTTCATGTCCCTATCTCAACTTGTGATTTACTATCTACTAACATTTAATTGGAACAGATACAGGGTGATCAGAATTCTGAATCTTGAACCACCCTGGATTTGTTTCAAATAAATGTCAGTAGATAGTAAATCACAAGTCGAGATAGGGACATAAGCGCCGTTTTGACCAATAATGAAGTTTCGACACAAAAAAATGCTAAAGTTTGAAAAATCTCGATTTTGAACACTTTATATCCCTGAAACCATTACAGCTAGACCCCAAGTGTGATGCATTGATGAAATCAGCTCTTCGGGGAGAATCTAAAAATGCAATAAAATACAAGGTGTTCCATTTGAAATAGAAGCGGCAACGCCGCAGGGCTGAAAATATTTTAGAACGATGTCCCCCTCGAAAATGTAGTTGACGTGTTTCAGATTGTTTTCATAATCCGGTTTTGGCAACCTACAGAGCCTCTGTTTCGTTTTCAAAGGCCCACTCTGTATTTTGGAACAATCGAACAATCCCTTCACTTTTTAGAGAGCTCAGTGTTTGTTTGTATCAAAGTTTTTATTTCACGACCGTTTGTTTGAAAATGTTTTTTACTAGAATTACGTTCGTTACTCTCATAATGACGTCACCACTTTCTTGGTCAAATTTCAATGCTTGATAAGTTTTGAAAATGCAGTTTCCTTCGAGAGTGGGGCATTTTACGATGTGAGGTTGGCTACGCAGGTTTCAAATGTGAATAATATCAACACTAAGAATTATTTGATATTTTCGTTATGGTGGATTGTTAATCATTGAAAATTAGGCAGCATAAACATGTTTTCAAACTAACTATAATAATTTGAATTGACAAAACAAACACACAAGATGCCTCGCCATTTCCAAGTGAAATTTGGTCAAAAAAGGGTGGCAGTGAAAGTCTTGGGAAATTATCCATCATGAATTTATACCAGGTTATCGAGTCTATTGAACAAATAGTGGATGAAAATGGCGACGAAGAGGAATATGAAGAAGTGATAACTGGCGATACTCTGAGTGAAAGCGATACTCAGATAATCGACACCCCGGAGTGGCCCGTTCAGCTGGTCAAAGTTAGGATTCCTAATGAAAATGGAGAAGAAGAAGAGGCGTGGATCAAGATAATGCAAGAGTAGTTAATTGAAAGATTTTGATTTTATATACTGTGAAGATGATTTTTTTTTGGTAGCATTTTTTTTAGGTGGATATTGATGATCCTGTAAATAATTTCAATTGTATTTTCTTCCATTTTGATGGAATATGGAAGCATGTCCATAAAAATATGAGTGAGACATATTACATATTATTATTTAGCTTAATATGGTAATTTTTCTATATCATATTTTGTTGCTGTTGAACCTGCTTCAACAACTTTTATTTATGGTATATTATTTTTGATGATTGAATGACACAATAGATTTTAATGTAATAAAATATTTACTTCAACCAGTACTTTTTAAAATAAAACATATATATCTATCATAGGCGAAAAAAAAAAAAAACAGATGGAAGGGCATACACTGGTTGAATATGATGAGGTTAATTAACCAATAGATCTGGTCCAATTAATCAGTTATTATTTATACTGTTTTCAAGACTTCTGTATTTCAGTATAGTATTCACAATATCAACAGCATAACATTTATCGAAAAAAATACACTCAACTTTTAATGGTGTTATGTTGGTGTCTATTAAAAATTACTTTTCTTGATCCTACTGCCGCTTTTGAGGTATAAGACCCATGACCGGCTATAATTTTGTATATCTCATATTATGAACTAAAATTGGAGAATTCTTGTATTAAAAATCTGACATGACAGTTAATCAGGCCCCGTCAAGAACTCCGTTATGGTAAAAAATATATACAGGGTGTTAATAGCCTGTTGATTTGATGAAGAAAGAGGCATGAAAATAAGGTCATTTCGTGGTTAGTTTTAGATAAAGATGAGTATTTTTCAAATTCGGTAAATGATTTCCTCTTCAAAACCCTCAACTTTTATGAGTGTAACTTCAGTCATTTCTTCCAGTGACGCTTCACAGGTGGTTGTGGTATCTTATACTCCCGGTATAAAAACACAACTGAGCTGAAATACAGTTTTTGCATAGACGTTTTCTGTATTCAAATATTTTTTGTACAGCTTCAGAGAACATTTTTGTAATAATCTACTATTAAAAATAATGAAAAATGCTCTGAAAGCTTTCTAAGTCTAATATTTCAGTTCAAATATGATAGTTCAATGTATTTTTTCAACATCATCGAAAAAAACCTTGGATTCATTCAGTGATGTAGAAGATTTTGGAGTAATAAGGTATTTTTTTTACCGCTTGGAGCGTACGAAAGGATGTGTTCATAAACCCTTACACTGCATACACATACACGGAAATATTACACTTTTTTGTATTTTTTTCTGGTGGTCAGCCCATTCATTGTTGCGACTATGGTCACTTGTTTACTTTGGCATGTAGCAAAAAACGACTGCCTCTTCAGAGAATGTTTAAAATTTCAATTTCCACACTATTGAAAGCCTCTTCCTAACATTTATATAGATTTCTTAATTTTCAGAGAGAAAATTTTGTTAAAATTTTGAAAATTTTTCGCCCCAAAAAAACAATTTTTTGAAAGATAATGATTTGAGATTCAGTTATAAATTTGTTTTTGAAGGTTAATAGTTATGCATTATGCTATACAGCGTCCCGAAATTACAGAGAAAGATTTCAACCATAGATTCTAGAGACGAAAAGAGTGAAAAAAGTTCATGGGTCCCGAAATGGCCCCCTGGGGGGGCTATAGCTATCTTAAGGAGAGCCCAAAATAAGGTTTCATTTGAATATTTTCGAAATCCTCTGCGATGAAATAATCAAATTTCACATATACCTAACTTTTTATGCCCGATTAAGAAAATAATTTTCCGAAACTGATCAGGGGCACTTTTTTTCCTAACTTTTTTGTTTATGCAATTTTCGGCAGTTTGACGAGAAAATATGGAAATCTCACTATTGTTACTTAAAAATGGCACTTGTTCAGTTTTGATAGCATTCACCATTTTCGAGATAAATCGATCTTAAAATTAAGTTGCATGATAAAAATAGTCCTCAATAAGGTATACTGATTTTCCCAAAAATAATAGTTTGATAGAAAATACACATTGCTCTAACATCTACTCTCGATGTTTGATTAAAAATATGAGGGTGCTATAAAAATAATGAATTGGAAAAATAATTTGGTAGGTACCATATTAAGAAAAAGTACTATTTTTACTATGCAGCTGACTCTTAAAATCGATTTATCTCGAAAATGGTGAGTGCTATCGAAACTAAACATGTGTATTATTTATAAGTAAAAATGATGATAATTTCATATTTTCTGGTCACACTGCCGAAAATTGCAGAACCAAAAAGTTGATGTGAATTGACCAACAGGCACCGACATCAGTTTTTTTCTATCTTGTACCGGAATAGGACTTTCCCTTTAAAAGTGTCCTATTTGTCCCACCCTGTACAAAATTTCCTCGTCATATATTGAAGTTGAAAATTGAATTATTATTATACTGACCGAATTTCAGTTTCAAAAATTTCACCGTTCTTAGGTAATATAACAATGATGTTGATTCTTGAACTTCACCTGAAGATGTCATGTTACCTCATTTGCCATCAAATCACGAGCCTGTGAAGCGTTGCCGGTTGAATTTATCATACAAAAATCGGTAGGCCCTGTATCTCCATCTTAGTAGGACTAGATTAAAAGTAATTTTAAGTTCAATTTGAAACAAAATATGGTTCAGTGGGAGAATAAAAGTTGATTAGATTTTTACATCATTGAATATGGACACCCTGCATAAAGAACAATGATAGGTTATGACTGTCAGCAGTCCGATCAGTGTGGTTAATTAACCTTACCACCAGCTTACCTCGGAAAATAAAAAAAATATATGAAAATCTCGTGCTCTGTAAATCACGAGACCAAGATCAATAAAATGTTTTATTGCATTAATCACTTGGAACCTCTCACTATCAATACATCACCTGTTTCTGCAGACACGTTAGAGAACAATTTCCGGAAAGCTTCGGTGAGCTTCACGATTTTGTCGCAACGCGAATTCGCGTCCGCGGATATCTTCAACACTCTGTGGGCAGTCGCTTGGAAATCTTGTATCTGGTCGAAATATTGGAAGATGTTCTGGCAGCCGAGCAGGTTTATTTCTTGTAGATTTGGGTATTCTAGGAGCCGTCTCAACGAAATGCCAGTCAGATTCGGGTTGTAGGAGAGATTCAGGCGTTCGAGGCTCTTTCTTGAACTACAAATAGAGTGAACGTATAATGGGTATGGATTCATTTCAGCTATATGATAATATAGCAATCCAATAATGAGCAAGCTTTCAACAGTAAACCATCAACGTAATAGTACAGGACCCGACTGCAAGATTACTTACTACGTTCATCTAGTATTCAATGAAAATCTAATGTTTATAATTCTTCTGGTGTGCCCACTCTTCGAATGTTTCATCAGACTTCAACTCTCGATATGAACAATTGAATGCGAGTTTGGAACGTCGGGTTCTCATATCCGATGATAGATGGCGTGAACAATGGACAATTTCAAAATGCGTTTCGAAACTTATTATGAAGTTGAACTAGACTTTCAGGGATGTGTTTTCCTCCTTTCGGGTCCAGAAAAGTCCTGTTGATGATGCACCAATTCAATAGTAGCTGGATAGAAGCATCTATAGACAGGACGCAAAAGATGCAGTGCGCAACAAATAATTCGTGCGGAAACATACTGATTTACTGTGATCGTGAATCGACATTCTGTCACGAGTGTCCCGTTTTCGGCATATTCATGATCTTGTTCGAATTTCAAATAAGAATATTATAATCTCATGAATGATAATTTATAAGAACATTGGTAGTTTATTGAGTAGATATTGGGATTATATTAGTTGAATGTATTGTGCTTTCATCATGGACTGACCATGCAGCGATGTGTGAGGATTATTTGAAAATCCGAACATTTACGTATCCATTTACACAAAAATTGAGAAAATGAAAAGGTGAACTCGAATGAATGTGTCATGATGTCTGTACATTTGGTTTGAAACTTCGTCAATTTAGCAAGGTTCTCCCACGCCTCGCTATTTTTACAAAGTAGGCGATATCGAGAGATTTCGAAACTCCTTTCAATAGGAAGTGATATCACCATTTGACTTTCTATAAATCTATATTAAGAGTGGGCAATAGGACTGGAAAAATGATGAATACAGCGCTCTCGCTCCTGACGCTTTATGGGAAAACAGTTTGGCATATAGTACATTTTTAAACGCCATCATATAGACAAAGGTTCAAATTAGGGCGGATACTATCTCATTTTTCAAAATTCGAAAAAAAAAAGTTTCAAAAATGTATTTGAATATAGCATTATTAGCTGACGAAAAAAAAATATTTATACTGCTTGTTCAAGATTTTCAGATAGTATCCGCCCTAGAATGAACCTTCAATATGCTACAGAAAAAAAATCAAATCATAATGTGGCTTGGTTTCTTCACAAAGCGTCAGGAGCCAATCCTCTGCAACCTCAAAAATAGGCATTAGTTCACGATGATATTTGCGCCCTCTGGTGAAAGTTATATCAGAAGAACATGGCAGTCGATATAGCCTTAGTTCGGGTGATTTGATGAAATATAGAAATAATGAAATTTAAAAATAACCTATATAAATTCATGAAATTTCAAAAATAAACTAGTAGGTATTGATTACTTTGAGACAAAAATAATTTATTCTTCATACATTTTGAGAAGTATCATTTTATAGTTCGTTCGTCAATTAAGTGAAATCTATTGAATAATCTGATGCGTAGTTTCACGCGAGTTCATTGCCTCAAGTGCCCATAATTTCGCTAAACGCAAAAAATCGTCTACAATAATAGAATACGTATAGGTGGTTCCCCGAACGGATTGTTTTTTACACGGCGTAACATCCTGAGATGCAGGGTGATGCAGGATGCAGGTAGACGTTCATGGTCAATGGAATAGAGAGCTTGAGCTTCTGAAATTTGTAGGTTTTACAATTTTGTATTTAGTGCGAGTGTAATATAATAGTGGTAGGTCATTAATGATTGATGACATTATAAAAATGTTCAACATCCTTTGAATGTTTACGATTCCAGGTAAAATGAATCAATGTTGAATATTTTCGTCATGTCAGTAGTTTGATCCGCTTTATGCAGAAACGTTGAACTTTGTATTTGGTGTGGAAATGTTTTTGTGTTTGTGACTATAAGTATTGAAAATGCCGCCTATAAAACCCAGGGCAGGTGATTATCGTAAGGGACAAAAAACAAAATCACATGTGTCGACAAAAAGACGTAGCCGTATCCTACTCAAGGGGGAAGAAAAACATCAGTATCGGTCGAATGTTATGTTCATTCTCTTCACCCAGACACCCCTATTTTGGAATTCCAAATGGCACCCCCTACTTCGAGATATATAAAATTCAAAGTCTAGCAATAATAACCAACCAGATGGAAAACTATCTTAGTATTCAATCCATAAATTTCGGGACATAATCATTAAATTAAGTTATATTAGGTCAGTTATTACAGCCAAACATTTTGTCAATTTTCATTGAAGGTATCCTCAGATCAATTTTTGTGGAGTCACATGTGGAAACAATGGTTAATAAAACTCAGCCAGAGAATATGGATGTACTCAAACTGATATATTTCTCGAAAGTAGACAAATAAATGGGAAAACGTTTCAAAAAATGTTTCAAGAATTCTAGAATAGGCTGTACTATTGAGCATCAAATATTGAAGCATATTTTCGAATAATTGCTTCAAATACCTCTGTCAAAGATCACTCGCTCTCTCTAACTTTTGTTGTTGATCACCAACATGAATCATTGAAATAAATTATTATTCATCTGGTCGGATTGGTTTTTGTTTCCGCCTCAATTTGATGTATCTCAAGTTGCTATTTGGAATTTTATAAAGTAGAGGTAGCGGGGGTTTGAAGGGATGATCATAGCATTCAATAGATACTAGTATTTTATTTCCTCCTCAATATCTGAATCAACCTATTTTTTTCCATAATTGTTATCATCGCACATCATAAGGCTAAGTGGTAAGTTTTGAAATCAAAGCTCTGTACTATGAATCGAGGAAATCGCCTATTTTGTAATATTCTCAGCTGAAACTGAATTTCAAAATTTTCTCTTCCAATGAGGAATTGGTGAAATAATCTACAATATTTCAATTTGTGCTAACTCAATCCACATCATAACATTTTTAGCAATCAGGCATTTGATGAAATGTTGCCGCATATCATCGAGTTCAACCCGTTTCTATAAAGAGCACCGTACCATGTTCTTGACCTCACACAATATACCTCTCAATTCACAAGTTCTTGCGCTACTGCTGCTGCTGTTTTATATTCCACTTCAGCTGTGCTCAAAGCAACATAGTATCTAATGCTTTTCAAAGAACCAAGATACTGATTTTTTTTGACGGCTATAACACAAAATTGCTTTCGTTTTACTATGTTTGATATCACAATGACTTCATTTTGTTATTATTTCACAAATTCTCATCTCTCATAAAATTTAAAATTTCAAGCAATGACATCAACTCTGTCTAATAGATCAGCATCACTAAAGAGTGAGCAATGAGCCGCACAAAATAACAAATTCAGCGGTCTCGCTCTAGACTTCCCATTTCGAAACCATTCAATATTTTCAGAACTTTTTCGATTCATGCTCTAGCCAAAGGACCAAGCTAGGTTGAATACTATCTCATTTTTCGAAATTTTTAAAGAAAGAGTGGAAAAAACGTTCTCAAAAAGTGCTCAAAATTAGTCAATTTGGCAAATAAAAAAAAATACGTGTACATGAAATAACCAATTGTGGCCAGGTAGCCGTGCGGACAGAGTGTCTATATTCTAATTCGCATTCGCTTGCCGGTCGTGGGTTCGATCCCCGTCGACTGCAGAAATTTTTCTAATGGCCCAAGAAAGTGTTTGGGATCACACGTTAAAAGGTAAGGCCCCCGTCATTCCTTGCTCGCACAAGACTTTCGAAGACTTTTGAGGGTTGCTCGTAAGGGGGCAACCGAATGACGGATAGAACAAATTTCAGAACAAAACAAAAAATTTCCAAATAGTATCCAACCTAGATCTATCTGTCAACAAACCACACAAAAAAAGCAGCTCGAAATAACGATCGATGTCTATACACGACGTCAAGAGCCGTTGCTCTACATTCTCACAAATACGCACGATTTGGTCGATGATATTTGCGCCTACGTAAATCACCCTGTATAATATAACAGAAAAGTTAACTTTAACTGACGATACAGTTGAAATTCAAGAAAATAATGATTAAAGCCTACTCATAGTATCTGATGAGTCATTTCGTTTGCTTCTTGGTTTTTCAAGATCGGATTTTCAAAAGAAGCGCTATGGCTTGAGGCTTTTGAAATCCTAATTTTTCCACACCTCTCGACCAATGAAGAGTGTCGTAAATCTTCATAACATATGTAAACGTAATGCATATAACAAAGGATATAACACAATCAAGGTGTTATCAAGATAGATTCTATGACCGGATTACCCGATGAATATAGGTAGAATACATTTCGCTAGGAATCTGCTAGGCAGATTATTGGCAATATGAATAAATATTCGGACGCGGTAATCACCCCGACTAATTGACGAACCGGGTGAGTTGTCCTTTTCTAAAAAGGATGCTTGTTGATTTATGACTGTTTTGTAACCGCCCACTGCTATCTCTTCCTAACCCCCCCGGACCTCAGGTATAGGCGAGAATTGTCGCGTTTCTCAACCTTAACATACAGTGTGACCCACTTCTAATGGAAACACCCCTGTATTTTACGTAATCGTTGGGTAAGGATCCTGAAATTTGCTGGGAGCGAAAGATATACCAAAATTGCACCCTATGACCAAGTGGGGGTGATCTTGAGTAATATACACTGCTCGCCAACAGCCATGGAACCATCCCAATTTCCGGAAAATGATAATGTCCAGTTCTGAAAAATTAAAATTTGTCGCACTTTTTACGGAAGCACCCCTGTATCTTACGTAATTGACTTTATCTTCGGACTCTCCCTTCCTCCTGCAAATTTCAGAACCCTACCTCAATAATTACGTGAGATACGAGGGTGCTTACTCGACTTCAATGATGCATCATTCAAAAAGTTATTGTCGTCACATAAATAATATAAATACCATGACATTTTATTGACAGTGGAATCCGCGGACGTTTTCGGATATAATACAGATTGTCAAAAAAAAACTGCATAATTTGTTGAAATTTTCTTTACAGTGTCCTAGGTTTCATTCACTTCGGTTTGCGCCAAAGGTTGAGAACACTAGCTTATGACGCATGCGCAATGACCGATGTTGCGCACTAAACTATCTTTAACAGCTGGCAACTCCTATATTTGCGGCCATATTTGCAGTGGCACAGATATTCTATCATGCACAGAAAACAATTTCATATAAAAATGATCAATAAACGCTATGAACAAATAAATGTAGCAAAATGATACCTGTTAAGAGATTGAGGCCAAGTGCGCAATAGCAACAATCACTTTTCAAGTTCTTCACATACACAGCTGCAAGGTGGAAGGTGAAATATTCGTGGCTACATTTCGATAGGCAACCCGGAAAAAATATATCCTCCTATTCATGAATATATCTTGAAATTAGATTTTCATTAAATACTTGAATGTAGTAATCTTACAGTCGGATCTTAGTCTATAACCATCAATCTGCCCTAGAAACAAACTCTTCACGTCTTAACTCATCTTCATGAATATATCTATTAGAAAGAAGAATAACACACAGGGTATTGCGTTCCATCATGGCAAGGTAATATTCGCAGACATGGCCAAGTACGAAAAATATAAGAAATGGCTAGAATTTCCCAATTCTTAATACCCACATAGAGATTGCCTGTCCAACAATGTACGGTTTGCCATGTATATAGAAAAGGTATGAATAAAAACCACCAAAATATCAAAACCAAATAATTCATCACCTTGAAGAAAATGAATGCCTATATACACATCAACTAATATACCTTAGGCTGAAAGCAATTGGGAAAATATGAAACTTCAAAAAACCAGAACCAATTAGTTCTTCATCTTGATTTCCTCACAGAAAATAGTTTCATATAAGAGAAAACGATTACACATTGACTTGAAAAATCTGATTGAGAAAACCGCAAAAAATCTGAACCAATTGATTCTTCACCTTGATTTTCTCACAGAAAGTAGGTTCAGGTAAGAGAAAAAGAATGGCCATATACACATGGACTCACTTACCTTAGGAAGCCAGCAATAGGGAAAATATGATTTGAAAAACTTCAAAGAATCAATGCAATTTATATGTGAATTTATGGAAATCTTATCGTTTGTGAAGTTTTTATATTTGCCATGAATTTCCATCAAGTAACGGCCGAGTCGATTCAAAATTTGGAGAGTTTGTATTCAAAATAGATTAATTATGACTTCCAGCACAAAAATCGGAGGGATGCAAAATATTTTAACTAGACAAAATCACATGTTAGACACCATGTAGCTTCATAACTGGTGATAAAATCGATCTGTAAATTAAAATGTATAATAGGGACGCCATATTATTCTAAAACGTATCAAATTTTTAGAAGAATTGGCCGATAGCCACTTTCCATACTAAATTCAATCGCCGGACCCAGTATTTATGAATAGAATAATTTTATAAAATAACTAAGATGGAAGTTGGACTACGGTTTGATGGAAGTTAATACAAACGGATGAAACATTCCTTCTCACCTCAATAAATCATACAGTTCGTTTTCATCCACATTGCACCTAGATAAATTCAGGGACTTCGGCGCAACGGAATCTGTTTGTTCCCTCCAAAGTTCCAACAAACTGCCCAACACGTTCCTATTACCCCCATCATTTCTTCCCACATCCAGCTCAGTCAAAACACCGGGAGCAGACCATGAAACGAGCTTTTTTATGTCGCCCGTCTGCAAACGGTTGTCGCTCACATCTAGCCTCTCGACATTTTCCAAAGTCAAGCAATGCCTGTCTTCTTGGAACAAGTTTCGGTCGAATCTGCAGTTGGACAAATTCAGAGATCTCAGTCGGAGATATTTCGTTATTTCGGACAGGTGCTGCAGAGACTTGTTCCTCAACGGGTTATCGCTGAGGTCTAGACATGTCAGTTTTTCCAAAATGGGCTTTGATGCGGACGTGAAAATTTTCACGAATTCAGCCAAATGAACAGCTACAACCAAACAATCCATGTTAACATATTATTTTATTCATTTATTGTTATACTGTTCTACAAGGTTGACCCAACTACAGTAAGGAGTTAGGCGAGAACTTAGTTGAATGAAAGAGATTCAATCACAAAGATATCTGACATTATATATTCTATGGAGATCACATATTTCGAAATATTTTTTTTCTTGGTGTCGGGAAAAGAGAATAAGAATCTCGTCTAGACACAGTGAAACTAAGCTTTTGCAAAATGTATGAGTCAGTGATATTATGAATCAGTTCCAAAATGAACACTATGGATTGACTATCACGACGGCATCTGAGGCTTTTTATAGCAGGTCTAGCTAGTGATGTGAAGGGGGGAAAGTTCCCTTTGTGCTGTGGGGAACGTTCGCGCACGTTAAATCGTTCGTGCGCGCATGATAGATCGATCTTCAGCACGAACGAGAATTTTCAGCACGAACAACAATTTTCAGCACTATCCTAGCCAATCAGCGCGCTTCATCCGCTTGCTATGATCCCCGTCAATCAGGGCGCGTGTATCGCAAAACTCCCTAGTTTTGTTTTGGTATTTGATTTAGTTAATACAATTTTTTGATTTGTAATGGGGCAAATGATACTAGAAGGCAATAAAATTGTTGTTCTAGAAAGTACATGTACCTGTAACTTATGAACATTTCATTACATAGGGCAAGGAAAAATATAATTCATACAATTTGTCTAAGATAAAGAATCGATCATTATCTTATGAAGCCCTAGGAGAATTTTGAGCATATTTAGCAATTTGAGATTTTTTTTTCGTTAATGCTCGTTTATTCTTGTTCATCCTCGTTCGTGCTCGGGGAAAGTTCTCCAAAAATACTTTATCGAGAATTTTTTATCACTATGTCTAGCTAATAATGTATCATGAGGAAAACCGATTGGTGGATAGACGTTATTAGATCTATACGAAAGAAGTTTTAGGAAATGCCGTTGAAGTGATTTAACTTTATATATGCTCATGAGATAGATATCAAATTAGGGTGCATACTCTAGTTTTGATCTGATGAAGGCATAATATGATATTTTTGATGTGGCTGAATCGGACAAATCTTAAAAAATCCGCAACTTTTACACAATGTCATGATGTAGATTGGTAACGAGGTTTTTTCGGATATCTATTTATAGAAAAAAAAGTCTTATTTTGACCTGAAAAATAAGCCTCTGAAATCTCGATACCGAATTTTGAAACACCGTGCATAAAGTCATTTCTTTTAATCGCCGACTAGTGATTAGTCATTTTGAATGAACCGACTCGCGTACAAGTTTGGAACAACTGATTTATATTTTGCGATTTTACGTGACTGGCATAACAACATTGAAAACAGAATATAACCGACGTCATTGAAACCAATATTTTGATGACGAGTTGGACATTTTGTTCTAATTAGGCAGTGTTTTCAACAAGTTTGGCACAAAAACACATTGTTGCATGTTATTCTATCTAGTTTTTCAGAGACCACCCTGCAGATATATTGTCAAATGGCGAGCAAGATATTTCGTTCAGTTATTTTGAGATATCTTAATGATATGTAAGCTCTGTTCACTATTTGTAATTTCAATTATACAACAGTCGATAATACTTCATGAATGATCTTATACCAGGAATTACTGTCTGATCATTCATGTCATTCCTACTAGAAAATTAATTATACTTTATATATTATTTGTATGAAATGTATCAATGAAGAAGAGAATGTAATGCAATAACTGAAATAAATAAATAAATAAGTTCACTAATAGCAGTTTTCTCACCTTGAAGTCCTGTGGAACTCAAATTCAGAATTGAGAGGTTAACCAATGACGGCAAACTGAAACACAGCTTTGCCAAGCAACTAGTGTCCACAAAATTTCCAGACAAATTAATTTCCAGCAAACTTGTCTGATGATTGAGTGCAGTACAAAGAGGCGTCAGAGTTGTACTCAACAAACCGCTATTTTCGAGGCTAAGACGAACTGACATTTCTTCTACAGTGCTAGATACAATTGTATTGGCAGCTAAAACGAACAAAAATCATATTTATGAATATACAACAATAATGGCATTCGAATAAATAAGCAATAACAGCAGTATGACGGCCGTTGTTGTTAGTATGAAAGTGTCAACGACTGAAGGAAAAAAAATGTATGGTGATACTTACTAGAGTTCATTTGTGAACATGCTTCTTTGTATCTCTCAATTAGAGGAGGAAGACACAGTTTGACAATTTTTCCTACAACAGGTTCAGCAGTCATTGTGCCAAGTGGGAAAAGCAAAGTCAGAGGATCTTCGTTAGATAAGAGGGCCCCAGATGTTGTTTCAAGTTCTAAGCATGGTCTTGAACATTCTTTTCTAAAATGGTACATAACTAATATAATAAGGGCTAACAAGTTTGGATTGTCCACCCGCACTACTGAGACTGTGACTAGACATGATATCTTGGGTCTTGCATATTTTGGATATCTACTTCTCTTTCAATGTACAAGTTCAGCATACTGTACTTTCATCGGAAAACACTACATAGACAAAGTAATCGATCGCAATCGGGGCTAGCACCTACGTCGGAGTGAGGGAAGCGGCATGACTCGCTTTTTCCCTCCCATCCATCCAATAACGATATCTCACGAGTAATATCCTATGTGAAAAAATACCTTATGAGTAAATAAACTCACAGCTTGGGTAAGCTTTGAATTGATTTTTTTCACTTGTAATCAGTTCAAGTACTTTTGTAAAAATACAAAATAATGATAAGTAGTGAATGGTAGTGACAAATTCTCTGATATAATTAAACTATTTTTGATACTACTCTGTAACCAATGTACATACCTGACAAGACAAAATGTACTCTGCATAATTTATATTTTTGTTTTTTTTGCATGACATGTTTTTTTAGAGTGAGAACCTCCATTGTCTAGACGTGAAAGCACGGTATAGTTCCACATTGGAAGTAAAAACCCAAGCTTATCCAAACACAACCATATCTCAAGTTTTTGCATATATTTACGTAGAACACATCACTAATACTGCAGAGCTATTTGCAATAGAAAATAACAACTGACGACAATATCTTGAACATTTCTGAGGGGTTTATTTTGATGTATTTGATGGAAGTAAATCACAAATACAACCAACAAACCCGCTAGGCGGCGTTCTCATATTCAATAGAAAATAACTGACGGCAATATCTTGAACATTTCTGAGCAGTTTATTTTGATGGAAGTGATGGAAGTAAGCCACAAACACAACCAAAAAACCCGCTAGGCGGATCGAATATAACAACTGACGAACTCGACAAGCCCAGTCAGCACATACATGCGTTGTGAACCTCGAGATATGTCGAACAACACTTTACCAACACTGGTTCGTCTGTAGAGAGGCGAAGCTTTGGAATTCTTTGCCAATGGAATTTTCCCAATGACTTATAACATTTAAAAGTAAAAAAAATCCCACTACCTCTCCCTACCCTCCCTTGGTACGCACGAAGTTCTTGGAACATTAAAGGAATTTCCTTTCCTACGCTCCAAGAGATTAAAAAAATAACTTGAATATTTCTGAGCGGCTTAATTTGATGGAAGTGATGGAAGTAAGAAACCCGATAGGCAGCGTACTCTCATTTTCCATCGCGAATCCACCTAAATATAGAAAATTGTGACAATGATCCAAAGCTCCAGTAGAGCCAAGTTGTGAGAATGAAAAATCTTCGTTCTCATTACATTGACAGGAAATGAAGATTCTATTTATTTATCCATTTATTGAAAATGTATTTCAAAGCCAAGTAAGTTCTGGTAGGAGGAGGTAGGACAATAATAATAACAAATTCATAAACAAAAATAAAATATTCAATGATTATCAAATATGTAAAAATTCATATTGTCCAGGCTGTACGTTTTTTATGTTATATCACTATTAGCATCTCGAAAACGGTAAATGACACAAAGTTGATTAAATTAGAAAAAGTTGCCTACTCAAGTGAACAATGAAACGATGCTTCAAAATCGGAAAGATCACAAACCGTTTTCAAAAAACACGGGCAAAAGCGAAATGGTTGCTTCTCTTTTGTTTGCGCTGGCGCCTCCATTTTTTGGAATATGGGGATGTGTTCAAGAAATGTTCTTATCTGTTTCTACATTCGATTGGCAATGGTGCATAAAAAGTTAAAAGCAAAAAGATTACTGACCGGGCATATTTTAGGGCAGCCTCTTCAGCTAACCACCCAATAGAATGAGTCTGGAGTTGAGACACTCTCACTGGCACTCTGAAAACCATACCTTCCACTTTCACGTCCACAAATACCATCAGATCCACAGTTAGAGGAATTTGAGGAGCAACCTGTAAAAAACTTTCAATCATTACAAGTCTCTTCAAACCATCAACATCAACAGGTATAGCACTGGTCTTTTTGTACGGATCTGAATAATAATGAACGATCTTTTATCAGGCCAAGCAATAAAAATCAAATAGACTCCTTGAAACAACCGTGTTTTAGGAAAGTAGGTACAGGGTGCGCTCCTTAAAATGTCATAACTTATTTATGCTGAAATTAATAAACTGTTTTATTATTTGGCAGCGGTTTCACAGAGGTCTTAAGAATGTGACATCGTTACCACCAAAGAAATAACAAAATACATGTCTTTTTATTCATATTTTCATTTCCGTTTTTTTTGACATTTTCTCCGTGATTGACATTAACTTTGATTTGTTTAACCCGGCGTCGCCCAGGTGGGGTCTCAGATAACCAGAAAAATTTTGAATCACTGGCATTTCAATTTGAATGCACGCACGTTTCTTTGGTTACCTATAGCTTCCCAAAACACTTCATTCTGTAATATTCTGGTGCGAATTCGATCTTTAGTTAGCTACCAAGATAGTGACAGTGCAGGAAACAGCTTTGGGGTCTGAGAAGCGCCACCTGTGTGACAGAGATATACACTTTATTCTAAGAGATAAATGTTGATTCCCGTAAGAAAATTTATCATTTTTTGTTTTTTTCATATACTACATGCTACTTTTCCAGCTGATAACTAGTTTTGCATGAAATCTTACAGAATTGAGTGTTGTATATTTTATAAACAGTTTTCAAAGATATCATGTTTTTTTTTCGTGAGAATTTCGCCATTTATATGTCTTTGATGATATTTCATGAATTAAACTTATTATAAAAAGTTTATATTTATAATCATGAATTAAGTACATCTAAATACTCATTTCACATACAAATGTGCAAATATTCCTAATGTTTTTTTCCTCATGTTTCTAATTATGGGGTACATCGTACATCAGACCCCACCTGGGTGATGATGTACCGATTTTCCACCTGGGTGACCCCGGGTTAAAAGAAAACTTGAGACCAACTGCCGAAAGGTCTTCATTAACTTAACAAGGAATCAAATCTTCTATCTCGTCTGCTAAGTGCTAAAAGGAATACATTGTCATGTATATAAACAAATTAAATATTTAATCGTCTCTGAAAATGTTTTATGCAACCAGCCCTTTCTGAAATAGGAATTCAAGGAATAACTTTACATATGACAAAATATGTCGAGTTATACAGGGTGTTTCAAAAAAACCTGACCCCCTTGATAGGTTAGGTAGATCACTGCAAAATAAGTTGGGTTTGCTCAGTGAAAAAATGTCTTAACGGCATCCGTTTCCATGATACAAGGTGTTGAAAAAATTACTTTTTTACACATTTTTCACGATTATGTCGAAACTACTGGAAACATTGTGATGAAATTTTGTACGGATGTTTCTTGAAATCTGACACATCGCATGAATTTGTTTTTATATCTGACTCTCATAGAGGGCGCTAGTTACACGGTTCGTACCGAGTAGTTTAGAACATAACTTTTTTGAGGTTAGATTTCCCAATCCAAATATGATATGAACTTAAACCTCATTCAATTTTACACCAAAAAGGAACTCTTGGTGAAACTCGATACTATGTTCCGTTTTCGGAATATTTTGATTTGAAAATATTGGATTAGTATTGATGCTGGTATAAAATGAATTTTATTGAGTTCAATTACCTATTTATTCAGATTCAAAAACAATAGGATCATTCTTGTGATGAAGTTATTGATGGAACAAAGAATCATAAGTAGAAAATTAAGAGATATTTGACAAGAAACATGAAATATTGAATCAGTTAGAGTATAAGTGTTCAAAATGTACTACGTTTCGACGAATACACGATTCTATATTCTTTTCTTAAGAATGTATTATTCTTCTAAACAGTTGAGGATCAGGTGTTAGGTCATTTAAGTGATGTTCAATTATGTCTCACAACTCTTGACGTGAATTTACCTATATAGCTTAGACTTTCTGCTCAAGATTCAACAAAACTGTGTAATCCATGTTCTCAGTCAAATCTGTTTCGATGTTATTCTTGTGATTCATTGTTATATCAATAAGTTTAGCATCAGAAATGTATTGCTGTTTTCGGTTTTCAATAAATAGGTGATAATTTTTCATAATACTCGCTCTATTACATAGCTTTATACCAGCAACAGTTATCACTTGATCATTTTCAAATCGAAATATTTCGAAAACGGAACACAGTATCGAGTTTTACCAAGGGTACCTTTTTGGTGTGAAATTGAATGATGTTCAAGTTCACATCAAATTTGGATTGAAAAATCTAACCTCAAGAAAGTTATGTTCAAAACTACTCGGTACGAACCGTGTAACTAGCGCCCTCTATGAAAGTCAGATATAGAAACATCGGCATGCGATGTGTCAGATTCCAAGAAACATCCATACAAAATTTCATCACAATGTTGCCAGTAGTTTCGACATAATCTTAAAAAATGTGTAAAAAAATCATTTTTTCAACACCTTGTATCTTGATAACGGATGCCGTAACGAAATTTTTTTACTGAGTAAACCCAACTTATTTTGCAGTGTTCTACCTACCCTAGTAAGGGGGTCAGGTTTTTTTGAAACACCCTGTATATTATTATGGGCAATAAGATATTGTACTTGAAGCAGTGCACTTTGGTTGAAAAAAAAATTGAAAAAGGATTCAATTCAGTTCCTCGCATGTACTAAATCTGATCGTTGTCTACCCATATGTCAAGAGGATTCTGAAGAAATCAGTCATATGGAATTAGGAACGATAGAAGATATAAGAAAAGGTTAAATTTAAATTTTTTTTTCATTTTGGTAACAGTGGGTATAACATTCTTTATCAAAATTTGTACCTGTGAATGTGGTGCTTCTTGACTCGAACTTGGTGTAGTTGAATCTGCTTCCACATAGCTTCTGCTAGAGACGAAATTCGTAATTTTCGGCTGCCTACTGCTATTTCCCTCAAAACTGTTGTTTTTTGAGAGAGGTATTTTTCTTGGAAATGGTGATGTACTACTTTTTCTTGTTTTATTGCTAAATTGTGTGAGTGATGCATTCCTTTCTTGAAAAGGTAGTGATTGAATTGAGTCGCTATCTGATTTATCCATTATCGGAATAATCTCTGGTATGTAAGTTTCACTGCTTACTCGTTTCAATGCTGCAAATACATTTAAATCAGTCAGCTCCAAGTTATATTAGTGCCAAGACAATTATACAGGCATTTATTTCTTTTTTATCGTAAGTGATGTTTCAGAACCAATATTTGTATACTACATACGTGATTTTTGTGATATTCTAGGCGACATGCTGGTCCTCACTTTGCTACCCCGCCCTATAGTCGATTCAGAACCTTCAAAACAATTGGTCTTTCTTTTCTTGGCAGCATTCATTAATCCAATATCATCTTCTAGCCAATCATCGAAAAGATCGTTTTCGGGAATTAATGTAGGCCGTTTACTAGAAGATTGGCTGGGTTTAGGTTCAGTCGTTGATTTTTTTCTGGGAGGAGTGACTTTTCGTAGAAATTGGTCGCCATCATCCTCAAAAAAGTCGGTGAGGTTTGTATCTTCTGTAAAAACCGGTATTGTTGAATTCTTAGAGAGAATCCTTTTCTGAATATGAAACAATAAACAGGATGTCCCATTTGAAAACAGACCAAAGATTTTTCAATCAGGTACATTACTCTGTACTTTTATGGTATAAATCAGAAAATGGGTGGCTCAAGGAACCAAATCGACCTGTCAGAGTTCTTTAGCAATAGCCTTAGTATCACAAAAATATCGAAATATGTCTATAATTGAATTTCAGTTCATTCCCCGTATACCTTCTACAGAGTACCCATCGAAAGCGGGCCAGCCTCATGAATTTTTTATTTAGGGAGCGATTTCCACGAACTTTTTTATGAAATGTAGAGGGGAGAAAGGTGTTTTATGGAGCTGAGCTGCCTCCATTAAAAAAACCATGGCCTACTAGAGCACGTTCAGAGGCTGAAAAATACAGAATCCATCCGATATACAAGGAGTGAAAATAATGGATTGAAATTTGGAACACCTATTACACTCTAAAAACTCAATATTTAGGGCTAATAGGCGTTTTTGAATATCTACAGTTGATCTACTTTCGGGGGTTGTACCCAATATAAACCTCTTGAATTTTTTTTGCATGCTGCCTCTGCTTCCCATGAGACATTGATTAAGATTATCTCTTTCATTTCATATACTTTCCACTCTCCTATGTTTTTTGAAAACTGTATGGATTCATAAATAAATGCCAAAAACAATTTACTTGTTATAACGGGTGACCGACGGGAACCGAACATTTTTGAAATGAACAGTACACAGTTATTTTTCACGGAATATTTTATTTTAATACACGAAGTTGTTTGTCTTGACATGCCATTCGAAGATAAATCAACTTGTGAAAAATTACGTCAGGTAAGTGGTGTTAATCTTCCTGAATGCAGTTTTCCAGCCTTTGCCAAAAATCGGCCATCACATGAGTCATCAGTTCACCATCAATTATGGCCACTTCTTCTTTGATTGCCTCTTTCAGTTCTACCAATGTGCGGGGTCTGTGAGAAAAAAAAGTCCCAAGAGCTCAAATCAGGGGGTTGACTTGAAAAACAGCTTTTTGCTAATACTCCGCCTATTCACCATTGCAGATGGGTATATAAGGTTTGGCAAACTATCTTTGTTTGATTTATATTAGTGCAATTTTTTTCTGCAAATGATGAATGAAGACGATTTATTATTATTATTATTATTATCTCGGGGGCCACGGGATGTCGCCAAAACGGGAAATTAAACGTGATGGGAAGATGCCTCGAATCACTAGCAGTGTGTGCGGTGGCACCATCCTGTTGGAAAAAAACATTTTCCAAATCCAGTTGCAGCCTGCGCAGTTCGAGGCGCAAGTAACTGTTGAGCATCTGGCAGTATCGTTCAGAATCCCAAAAATGCCAGGCTTCCGTCGGTATTTCATTTTATGAACATACTATTTGACATCTTTTGAAATTGACCTTAAGACCAGGAATGATCTAAAGCTTTCATAATGTGTTGATGAAACTCAAGGCCAAACTTGAAAACACACAAAAATATATAAAATATCACACCACCTGTATATAGGAATAAGGGCTCCTAGCCATATATGTTTACATGAAATATTTATCTTAGAATGGTATTTTCCTTAGGTTGTTGAAGTCCTGTTATATAAAACTGACTCACCCTGTATAATGATGAAATTCGCTTTTTATGCTGATATCAAGGAACTATATGGATATTGATATATAACAAGTTACCAATGCACTCATTTTATAAAGAGTAATAGACAAAACAACTAGGAACACAGAGCATTTTGAGATTTCATATTCCAGGTTCAACACATAAAATTTTGACATATCTATCCTAATATCATAAAGAGGAAAGATTTGATTGTTTGTTTGTATGTATTGAATAGGCTCCGATACTAATGGATCGATTTGGCTGAAAATTGGTAGGGAGGTAGTTTAGAACCAGGGGAAGGTTATAGGATACTTTTTATCCCGGTACCAGTAGGAAATTCAAGTTGGCGGATCTAATATATCAGACGAGTTTTTAAATTATGGTCCGATTCTATTCAAAATTAGTATCTGGGAAGATTATGATTCTTTCGTCGAAATTTGGAAATTCAAAATGGCGGACGAGCTTCGTAATTATAATCCTATTCCTTTCAAAATTGGTACCTAGGGGTTTTTGTGATCGGGGATTATGATTCCTTTGTTAAAATTAAGAAATTCAAGATAGCGAATTCAAGATGACGGATCCAAAATGGCGGATTTTGTAATTAGGATCCGATTTTATTCAAATTTGGTATCTGGTGTTTCTCGGGGTCGGAGATTATGATTCTTTCGTCAAAATTAGGAAATTCAAGATGGCAGACCCAATATGGCGGACGAGTATTGTAATTATGATCCGATTCTCTTCAAAATTGCTATTTGGGTGTTTTCAGGGTCGGAGATTAGGATTATTTTGTCAAAATTTGGAAAGGGCGGTATTTGGAAGACGGTGGAACCAATATATTGCAATTATATACCGATTCTATACAAAATTTGTAAGTGGGCGTTTTAGGGAACAAAAATTATGATTCCTTGGTAGTTTGAAAAACTGAAGAAACACGCTTTTATAGATAGAGGAACTGAAAAGAAGTAGGATATATAATAATAATAGTGTCTTGATGAATATTGAACTGAAAAAATATCTTATAGAAATAATGTATAATATAGCAAAACAACGTTTGCGAGGTCTGCTAGTATATCTATATGTAAATTCATTACTTATTTCGTGAAATTAGTTTAAACAAGTGTCAAAATATTTTTCAGTAGGCAATGAAATGTTTCAGTAGATCTGTAGATCAATATGCAAATGAGGAAATCTCCTAAAAATTCAGTAGAACTGGCAACCCTGCAGCGGACGAAAAGTGTTCGCGGGAGAAAAAAATAGTGTCTGCGGACGAAAAGTACATGCTTTCGGTTAGTCGGTTTTTCGTTCTGAAATTAGGACGTAAAATTTGATTTTTTGTAGAGGTAGACGAAAAAAATCTTTATACTAAATATTACCGGTATAAGGAGCTTCCACCAGTTCTTGATAACTTCTCGACCGATTTTCTTTTCCCCCAATCACTAATCGGGTCCTTTTTTCCTTATCTCTTTCTCGATTATCGCCACAATCCGCATCTTCTTCATCTACTTTGTGTCCCAATTTCTCCAAGACTTCGGACATTCTTTTCGTAAGTTTTTCGTACAGTTCTAAATCTTCTCCGACAAAAGGATCCTTGCGATGCCAAGTTCTCAGTACATTCAATGCGGAATCGCCAGTATCAGTTTTGACGACGGCAGAAGCCCCGCGGTCTAAAAGTAACTCGACGATTCTAAGATGACCATTGTTGGCTGCATCATAGAGAGGAGTGATTCCTGAAAAAAAAAATACAACATAAACAGAAGAAACTTCTTGAACGAATGACGCTGACGCTGATACTGGCGGCCGGAACTAGATTCAGACCGTGTTCATGCCTGTGCGCTTGGCCGCTAGCTCCGGTAGCCAGTATCAGCGTCATCTTATATCTTAAGCGATAAGATTTTTTCCAGCATAGGCAAGATGACTACTAAAAATCGCATAAATTCAATGTCAAAGTACATATACCTGAGATTTTAATTTAATTTAACAATTTGATCTTATCAAATTATCCTAATGTAATTTGACCACATTTTATTATATATAATATGTATCATACAAAATATGTACTTATTATATGATTGTCTCTTCCTTTCATGTTTTCTTTTATGTTCATCTCATTTCATGATTTTGTTATGTAGTTAAATGAACTAGTTTCTTGCAGAGAATGCTTTATTACCGATAACTTCGTATAATATTGTACTTGCTAGGTTAAGTGTAAGAGTAGCCATTGGCTAAACTACGCCTATCTTGTACCTGTTCAAATAAAGACGATTTATTATTATTATTATTATTATTATTATTATTATATATTAGTAGAACAATGGAGAAGTTTCTTTCAGATGAATTTTCATGAAATAAGTTCGGAACTCCTCAGTTTCATGTCCACGCTGTACAGACTGGCGATCGATGAAGTCGAAGTCGTTATTCATTTCAAAAAAGCAATTTCCAATTTTCGGACGGCAAACTGTGACGTACATTGAGAATCTGGTCTGAATTTAGCTGATATCTAGCGTATAGCTAACATAATGACGAATAAAAAAAATAGAAGAAGAAGACAACTTGGCGAACTTCTCATTACAAGAAGTTTGATAAAAAAGGCAGCTCAAAACAAAACTCAAACTGTGATGGATACCTAGCCACACAAATATACCAGGAGACGACAAGGCAGATCAAGTAGCCAAACTTAACACAGCTAAATGAAGGGTGGACTACAAGAAACTACACACTACAATGTTTTACCACTAACCAAACCGATTTTTCAAACTCCTCGACACGTGTTTCGCTAACTATGTTAGCATCTTCAGGAGAAGATTGCAAATTTTGGAATTTTAAAAAATCTGTTTGGTTAGTGGTAAAACAGTGTAGTGTATTATCGTGCCAAAGGTTCCAGTCTTCGATATATACAGGAAACTAGATTATAGAGATCTTCTTCCTAGAGTCAGGAAAAGAATACAAGAGGCCTGGATGGAATGGACATAACTATGTAAATCAACCTGAGTTTAAGATTTTCTAAAAGTGAATTGTCAAGGACATGATCATAATAGGAAAAACCTTGTTTTCTTTTTCCGTTTCGGCACAAGAACATCATGCATCCCTGGCCCATATTGTCTAAATAATAGTCTTTTAAATGAGAAGTCACCAAAATCACGCACAACTCAAAAATATAAACGAACAAAATACCATCCAAATACCAGGACACAAACACGATCATGAACAATGAAACAATGGAAATAAAAACCATATGAAAACGAACAATACCAATGGCGTGGCAGATGATGAGCACAAAAATATCTAAGCCTCTCCTGATGGGAGCACACCTAATCAACGACATACGTCTGAGGTTGTAAGCTATTTCGATAATCACGGACATTCTTTTCATATCTTGGTCCTACTGCGTAGGTGCAGAACCTTAAAATCATGATCTCCATGGAAGGCGTAAAATTTTCACGCGCAGGTAGCTGTATCAGCATTCCATTTGTAGGGTTATAGTACAGTGTCGCGCCCACCCAGTATACCTCCGCTTGCTGACTGGAGCCTCCCACCGCCTCCACCTCCATTTGTATCTTGCATTGACTTTAGAAATTTCAATCTAACACGGGTGAAAAATTAAAGAAATACCCTATTGATCATCTGACAGTTATTATACATAATTACTATTATGTATTCAAGATATTGGTTACATTTAATTCAAATTATAAATTGTTATAAAAACAACTACAAGTTATCAAAGTAGATAACTTATCAGGAAATTCAAAGGAAGGAAGATAGTTTATTTTGAACTGTGTGTTTTTAGCGTTTACATACAATACATATGTGTAAAAACAACTAATAATCATCGGCAGTCCAATGTTAATATTCATTAAAGTTCATTATTTCCATATTTGAGAGAAAAAGTCAGTATAAATCAAAAAATCACATATTATTTCTTTTTAATTCCCGACTTTTTGCAACTCAGGCTACATTTACTATCAATTTTATATGTATTTCATCAAGGTGAGTGAAATCAATACTTCCATTTCAGTGTATACTTTTTACATACCATCACATTGTGTCCCTCCTCTATCATTTATTGTTGCTCCCTTGTCCAGCAACATTCTTACTATGTCCAAATGGCCATGGTTGCATGCTTCATGCAGTGGCAACCAACCAGAATTATCTCTAACATTAACAGGATGCCCCTGCTGCAACAGATGTTGCACCACAGGAACCTGAAAAATTATAAGTAACAAGCATATAGCATGTTAGTTGTTAAACAAAGATTTGAAAAATAATTTTCAGCTAAATGTATTCATATCTCTTCATAATTATGTAGATTGTATCTAATATATAAAATTCTCCTGTCCCGGTCACGGTGTTAGTGGTCGAACTCCTCCGATTCATATGAAATTTTTTGTGTGTATTCGGTAGGTATGAGAATCGGTCGTAATCTATTTTTTGAATCGAAAATTCAAGATGGAGGATTCAATATGGCGGACTATTGTTATCCGATTTCATTCAAAATTGGTATTTGAGTGTTTTCAAGGTTGGAGATTATGATTCTTTCGTCAAATTTTGAAAATTCAAGATGGCGGATCCAATATGGCGGACGAGTTTTGTAATTATGGTCAGATTCCATTCAAAATTGGTATCTGGGGGTTTTCGAGGTCGGAGATTATGATTTCTTCATCAAAATTATGAAATTCAAAATGGTGGATCCAATATAGCGGACCAGTTTTGTAATTATGGTCAGATTCTATTCAAAATTGGTATCTGGGGGTTTTAGGGGTCGGAGATATGAATCATTTGTCAAAATGGGGAAATTCAAAATAGCGGATCAAATATGGCGGACGAGTTTTGTAATTATGGTCAGATTCTATTTAAAATTGGTATCGGGTGGTTTTCGGAGTCGGAGATAATGATTATTTCATCAAAATCAGAAAATTAAAGATGGAGGATCCAATATGGCGGACGAGTTTTGTAATTATTATCCGATTCTATTCAAAATTATAAGTATCTGAGGGTTTTCAGGGTCGCAGATTTATGATTCCATTCTTTAAAATTGTGAAATTCAAAATGGCGGATCCAATATGGTGAAAGTGCTTTGTAATAAATAGTAGTTTGGAAAACTATAATGAAACATGCTTTTATGGGTAGCCAAACTCGAGGCCAAACTGAATAGAAGTAGAAAATTGATAGTATAGTTCAAAAAACAAAATAGATTGTCGAACTAAAGAGAAGTAGAAAATAAAAATAGTAGTTTGAAATACCAATGAAACATGATTCCATGGATAGCCAAACTAGAAAGAAGTAGAAAACAAAATAATAAAAGTGTGTTGATAAATATTCAACTAAAAAAATATTTTCTAGAAATAAATGTATAAAGCAAAACAACGTTCCCGGGTATCAGCTATCGTTAGCCAAACTAAAAAGATGTGGGCAGATAATAAAAAGTAGTTTGAAAAAATGAGAATTTATAGAATGCTGAATAGAAGTAGAAAATAAATAGAATAGTTTGAAAAACTAAATAATCCCGCTTTAATGGATAGTCAGACTTAAAAGAAGTAGAAATAAAATAATAAAAGTTTCTTGATAGATATTTATCTAAAAAAAATTTTCCAGAAATAATGTTTATGGCAAAACAACGTTTGCTAGTATATATATATATATAAACTGATATATTTTGTGAGGTTATCTGCCAAATGAATACTTTATCTTATATCAGTATGTTATAAAGTAGGCATTTTTGCATCATTGAAATGTTTAAGTATGTGAGTCTGGTGGAATATTCAATAGGGCAATTCAATAATTTATTATTAAAAGTACATACCTGTCCGCTGATACAGGCCAGATGGAGTTTGGATTCTCCCTTGGCATTTTTTTTAACAATATTTTTGTTTCTTCGCCTACCAATAACAGATGAAGATTCAATTTTGGATTGTTGTTCAATGTCAGAATCCTCACTATTGTCTGTAATGCCAAAATATTACAGAATTAATTCTGCATAAAATTCAAGTAAATAGGTGATTTCTTTATAACACTGTGATTATAGTTATTAACAAGAATTCATTATTAATTCTTGAAAACAAGGTAGGATATTCACCTGTGATGTCTTCTAAGTCTATTTCATATCCAGTTTCAACTTCCTCACTTTCATTTTCTGAAGATGAAGATGACTCTTCATCATCAGGAACATCCAAAGATTCAAGATATTTGACCATTTGGGATGCATCTGATGGATTATTTGATCTTTGTAAATATTTTATACACCTAAAATTGAACTATTAAAATTTGACATTATAACTAGGGCATGAATACACAAAGGTAAAAAAGTTGATGATTTTTTGTAGTACTCATATTACCTCTCTACCATACGTCTTTCTTCTTTCAAGTTACCACTATTTTGACAATTCTTTAGAGCCCTTTCATAAACAGCTTTCACTTCAGTCACAGGAGCATTTGCAGTTTCTTTTGTATCAGCAATCTTACTCAGGGTGTTCAAGTTATCTTTAAGGTTATCACATAGGTTGTATTCCTTTTCATAATACTTTTCTGCTTCCTAACAAGTTGAAAAAACCATATTTCAAAAATGCATGGAATACAATTCATAAGATTCAAAGGATAACTGGCACTTTTTGAATGGAATTTTATTTGTTAGAATTTGTCTTCACCTTGTACTGTGACATGTCTTTATAGCATTCTCCTAGACTATAGTAGTAAGAAGCAAGTGTCTTCCCATTGGTCCCAGATTTTTCAGCATGCTTCAATGTCAATTTGTAGTACTCAATGGCCTTTGAAAAGTGTTTCAGTGAACAGGCATAATCTCCCATTTGTTCATACAATTTCTCTAGTTCTTTGTCATTGTTGCAAGAAACAAAAAGTTTGTCCTCTAGTTGACACATACTGGCAACTAAAAACTAGATCTCATCAACAGAAGGAATAAGTTGCAGCTGGTGCTCCAATTAATTCCAAAGGTTTAGAATAAAATCACACAATAATTTGTTCAACAGTATTTTTACCAATGTGAATCTGATGTTGCTGATTTTTTTCTCAAAAACCATCATCATCATTGTTACCAAAAACTTTCACCAACTAACAGCCAATGACAACTAAACAACATAAATTACATAATCTGACATAATTTGCATTCAGAAATACATTTTTGATATCATAGAATAATCATACCTATCCTGAGGTTTTTTTCAATCACATCCCTTTCCTGTATATTAGGTGTCCTTAACTTGTATGCCTTCAATAAAGCCTGTTTGGCACTATGAAAATCAGACACCTTTATCAAAAGATCAGATTTTGCTAATAGAGCTGCACATATAAGATCAACATTTCCTTTCAAATTTTCTGAAAGAAAAAGCATTGAACAAATTTATAAACTGAGAAATGATATAATTATGATTAGATAAAGTGGAAAAGGAAAAAAAGAAAAAGTATTCACAAAAACATTAGTATGGATTCACAAAAGGTATCAGGTCTGAATTCAATTTATCCCATTTGTAAGGAAATCAAATGATTTCTACTTTTGTACCAACAATACCAAAACCCAAGTCATTTTATTTTGAATAGATGCATTTATAAAACTGAAACTTGAATGATAATACAGTAAGACTTACTTGCAGCATCAATGGCTAGATTATAATGATGAATAGCATCATTAATATCATTACTTTGACCATGTTTATCATGGAGAGAAGCTATTGACATGTATCCTCTGATCAATTGCTCATAGATGTCATGTTGCTTACACATGGCAACAGACCTTTTCAGGAGTTCAGAAGCCTTGGTATAATCACCAAGACTTTCTTTCACAAGGCCAAGGTTTGAGAGTAACCTGGCAAGCATATCAGCTTTTTCAAGCTTAGGTATACCTGTCAAACTGAAAAATGGAAAATTAGAATGAAAAAAAAAAAACAATCTAGATGCTAGACTGAAAATGTGATGGAATTAGTAAAAATGAAAGTAATATTCATACTTTTCTGCAATCATCAGACTCTTCATAAAGTTTGTGTAGGCAATATTTAGATTTTTCTCAGGATCATTTTGTGTCTCAAGGTAGTGAGACAAATACATGTGTCCAATAGTTGCATATGCCCTCTGCTGTTCTATATCATTTTTTTCTTCTAGAGCAATATCTGCAAATTCCAGAGATTGCTATCAATGGGAATATTCACTGGTTATAAAGTACATACTCAAGTAGATTTTTTGATGTTTCAAAGCTTCCTCAAACTTTTGTAGACCCATATAAGCTTCACCAATACCTCTATGGGCTTTTGCATATTCAAGTTTGTTGTTAGATTTATAAATGTTTGCAATAGTTTCATATTCCTCAATAGCTTCTTCATATCGTCCTTGTTTCATATGTAGTTCAGCAAGATCAGCAGAAGTGGAAACAATCAAAAGTTTATTGTTTTCATTTTCAGCTTTTCTTTTTCGTTTATTGAGAATTTCTAGAAATCAAAATACTGCATTGACTGTGATAGGAAATTATATAATTCCTTACTTGCTTTCCTCGCTTCCTCCATAATTAATTCATTTATGCCTTTAGCAATTTGAATTTAATAAATTGAGAAATTGAAATTACAGAGCTACCGAAGTATTTACCGCTTGCTGTTTAAGGTTAATTTCTTCACTCAACTTCTACTTCTCCCTTATGTCATCATGTACATGTAGTCATGTAAGATGTAAGCCCATTACATAATTATCTCATGTTATCTTGATACTTAAACTATTTGAACTATTGAACTACTAGCAATACTGGCTACTGGCTAGTTTTTACTCTTTCCTCTTTCCTTTCATATATTTACCGACAGCTGTCACTGTCAGCAGAATGTCAAATTATATTTTGTTTTCTGTCATTTAGTCATTTCATTTCATGATGGTGGGATTAAAATTGCAGTCAATAAACAATAAACCTATTCATTCCACATAACTATAATAATTTGATGCCTATCCCATTAGTCACTTTCATATTCAATAATTGATATAATTATTCTATACTGAAAATCCAGAGCTAAATAATAATATTACCAGTTTGTCAAGTGTCCAGGGTCTTTTCCTTTCTGGAAGAAATGGTGACAGAAACTTTCACTCTGATACCTGGAATAGGGTGCAATGTTGGAGACAGAATTGAATGTGGGGGCCACTTTGGAACAATCAAGTATATAGGGCCTGTTGATGGCCATCATGGCATTTGGTTAGGAGTAGATTGGGATGAGCAAGAAAGAGGAAAACATAATGGGACAATAAATGGAAAGCACTATTTTGACACAAGGTAGAATTAATTTTTATATCAGATGTACATACTGTGTGAATACTAATAAGTTTGTTCTCAGATACTCTACATCTGGGTCATTTTTGAGAAAAGAGAAAGTCAAATCTGGAAGATGTTTGATTGAAGCCATTAAAGCAAGATATGGTTTCAAAGAAAGTGAAACAACAGCAAAGAAAAACAGAGAGGAAATGATGAAATTCCAGCAACAAATAAATGCACCTTTTCTAGAATTTGTAGGGTTTGAAAAGGTGGCAAATAAACAAAGGTTGATAGTCAATACCTACTCTTTCTTCAGGCTCTCAAGTTACAATTTTTGTTCCAGGGAGTTTAGATTTTTAGAAGTGGTTAATGTTCGACTTGAAAATATTAATTCAGCTGGGTCTCCATATGAATTAGGACAATTGTTTCCTAATATACGTGAAATTGATTTGTCTAAAAACTTGCTATCATCTTGGAATGAGATTTTCACTATTTGTTCTCAATTCAAGCGCTTATATTGGTTAAATGTCAGGTGAGAAGTTTCAAATTTTTTGCATTAGAGAACTTCATGTCTATTTTTCAGTGAAAATATTTTGGAGCTGCCTGAAAACTTGGAAAAATATACATTTCCAAATATATCAATATTAGTCTGTGGATACATGAACCTAACCTGGCAAGACATTAACAAGTTATCAAAAATTTTCCCTAATGTAGAAGAGCTAAGGGTGCCTTTTAATAATATATCTGATCTATCAACTCCCTCAGATCATAATTTCATAAAGTTGAAATATTTGGATCTGGAAGGTAATGATATTAAACTTTGGTCAGAAATTGAAAAGCTGTCTGTGATAAAAGAATTGGACCATTTGACAATTGAGAATATTGGACTGAATGAAATTTGCTTCAAGGAAAATTCAATACCAATTAATGAGTTCAAAAATCTCAGGAATCTCAATATAAGCCATAATACAATTGTTGAGGTGGGTTTTCAAGTTTTTGCAATACATGTATGAGAAAAAGCTTTCAATATTTTTTAGTGGAGGTCTATAGCAGAACTGAATAAATTAGAAAAACTAGAGCACCTCAGGTTCACTAAGAACCCAATATTGGAAAGTGAGAACTTTGCTACTAGAGAGCAAATTATAATAGCAAAAATTAAGAATTTGAAATCTTTGAGTGGACGCATAATTTTGGAAGAAGAAAGAAGAGGAGCAGAATATGATTATGTTAAAAAGTATGCTCTCATTTGGTTAAAACTCCAAACCACTGAAGAAAAAGAAACCTTTGTATTGGAACATAACAGATTTTTAGAGCTGATAGGCAGTAAGTAATGATATTTTAACTAATATAGCTGAACAATAATATTTAAATTATCTTAACATTAATATCTCAACTGATGTTGAACATAATCTAGTAATGGCAAATCTTGGCATTCAGTTTTTTTTAATTTATAATGTGAACATTTATTTATTTTATTTATTTATCTGAATTTTTCCTAAAAATCAGACTATCTGCTTTAAAGACACTAATTAAAACATCTTCAAGTTTCACTCCATTAGTGAAGGTTTTATCCTTGATCATTTACTCCAACAAGATGAACCATCCTCATGAAAGCAATGAAGCCAGAAATACTTTTCAGTGGAATGAGTTGATTTTCAGATGTTTTAATGCAAGAAGGTATCACATCAGGACAGGATAAAATATTGATATTCAATAGCCTTCAAATTATCAAAGTTAGTGGTTTTCCTGCTTTAGTAAGGATATTCCTACATAGTTCAGCAACTTGCAGATAGATGGACTCCAGCAGATTCCCAGAGTATAGTCAGTATAGACTTTTACAACTCACATGAATAATATGATTCACTTATCAAAAAACAAAGTAAACCATATTCCTTTTGAGAGCTTTCAAAAACAAAAATCCTACTAAGTGGTATATGCTCATTTCCTAAAATGACTGACTGTTAATGACAGATTCTGTTTTTTCAACATATGCATCTTTCAAGTCATGATTTTCATGGGTTTTCAACATTTCCTAGACAATGGACGAGTGGACTGATAATGATTTATTGGCATTCAATTACTCCACTGTGTCCTTAGGAACCAAATTAATTTTTGCAACATTTCTCATGCTTTTTTTATGTTCATTCATGACATTTTCGAGCAACCAGCATGTCCATATATTTCTTATTCTCCACAACAAAATATCATGTGAATGTTGGAGGCTTGGCAACATTGTGCTGAGAACTGACAAGACCACGCCCACAAGTCGTGCTCGGGGTTGTCACGTTCCCCGATTCAAATGTCCTCTAGTGTGAATTAATATAATTATTATTTATACAAGTTTATTATAAGCAATACGCCAAATATCATGAGGTAACATTTTGAGACAATTGCATTTTTATTGCTAATTAGGAATATTACCAAAACTCAATTGAGAATTTGTGAATTATTGAATAACTAATATTTTTGAAGTTTCCAATCGTATTTCAATACATGGTAACTGTGTCTATCCCTACTCATGAAATCGTGGCGTCAGTGTTTACTGGCGGTAAATTTCTAGCCGTTTGAAAATTACCATGGCATTATTGATGATTTCAGCACCTAAAAATCGGCCAAACATTTTTCGAAAAATATGAAATTGGAAGGTATTTGAGTGATTCTATTTAAGAAAGAATTTGTATACGCCGCCCTCCTGTAGGAAGTCCCGAAATTATTAACTGAACCTGTCATGAAGAGGGGGCACCCTTGAAACAATTATTTAACATATGCTTTTTCTCAGCCTTATTTTTGGTTTTACTTGCATACAGTTGTCGCTTGCACATGCACTGTTGTAATTTTATACATGCACTTTTTTGGTCAAAATCCAGGGAAAACACAAAAAGTGCATGTTAAAAAAATTACCACAGCTCATGTGCACCCTACGATTTTATACAAGGTAGTTTATCATGATACAAGTAACACCAAAAATAAGGCTGCAAAAAAGCATATTTATGTTAAATAATTGTTTCAGCAATACCCCCTCTTTATCAAGTGTTCAGTGAATAATTTCGGGATGGCGTATGCAAATTCTTTCCAATCTACCATTTTTATCAGATTTCAACATAAACCAACTTGCATGCATTAACTCAAGATGTTTGAAACCCATAAAAATCATGACTGGAACGATGCATACATACAACCTTGCACAGAATCTAATGATCTTTCCCAATAATATATCCCTACTATGGCTATATTCCGAATTCAACTGACAGAACTGAATCTTCTGATTTTTCATTTCAAAATAAAAAAAATCACTGAAGGTGACAGATACTTGTGAACATTCCAAATATTTCTACTCAACATTCTTCTGACTATCAAAAGGTAGTGTGGCTTCAGTGAACTGTCATTATTTTAGAGGGAATAAGGAATGTTACATTTATTTCAGTTGTTTTTCAAACATCAAGTCTTGTCTGTAACAAATTAATAACATAATATCAGAAATGGTCGGTTCATAGAAATAACTTATATTCAATTATATTTAGTTCAATTTAATTTTATCGTAAGAGAGTTTTTGTCGTTTATAGAAATGCATTTAAGAAATACTTACTCATGCGCAGAAACATAAATATGGTCATTTACAGATTCACATATTGGTACAACTGACGCTAATGCTCAATGCACATCTTATTTTCAATGGTTTAATTTAATTTATTGCAATGAAAAGTCGGCTAATATCTTATCAGTACTGAATTGAATATATTATTATATTAAATGAAAGCAATAAGTGAGTTTCTATGAATGCTTACATGTAAAACTGATATTCCAACTATTATGTTAAATATAAATTGAATGTAAATTAAATATAAATAATTTCTACGAATTGACCAAAAATGCATTTAAATAATGGTCAGATAATCTAGAAACTACAGAAGTGACAACCTGCCAACTGATAAATTTCACCAGCTGATCAACTGCTGCTGATTACTGATGGAACACATGTTCTGAAATACAGCACTGTATTTTTGATTTTATATTTATGAACAGATTTTCAGCAGAGTCAGTGGATCTACTGACAGTTCTGATCAGGAATATAGCCTATGAATAAATAAACAGACATTGTGACATTGACAGCTAACATGAGCAACTTCACCAGCATTTTCTTTGGTGCAAGATTCAGGTGCTTGAAATTTTTTTCATTTCAGAATATGGTTTACCAGATGAATCGGAGTTAGTCATTCAACCAAACATTATCAACAGTTCCTTGATCAACTTGAATATCAGCTACAATGGACAAATAATCACAAAAAAATTGCCGCCCTCCATTTTGATCCAGAAGATAGTGATGATGGTCCAGAAATTATTCAAATTGCAAGATCGTCCCATTTTGACCTACGTCAGTGGATCAAAAAGTCATATAAGGATTGATTTGATTGATGATATGAAGGAGTTGGGATATTATTCTATTCAAGAAGGAGATATGATTATTGTGAATATGGCTTAATTCAAAAGAAACATGACAACAAACTTATTGTTTTACTAAAATTCTAAAATATTAATAACTTATTCTATATTTTGTTGTATTATTTTCATTACTGTTGAAAAAAAGAATGTAAAATTTTCGTGTGCTCAAGGATGCAATTCAGCACTCATTTTAACAGATAAGTCAATAATTTGTTAATACCACATCTGGTTCCACCAGAACATTAATGCAAGATAGGTAATAAAAGCTTACTTCGAATTTTTGTACATACTGTGTTTGAAAAGGCAAAATCAGTGACTCTAGGCAAGATTAGTTCCTAAATATTCCCCAAACTAGGGGAAAACAAACTCTGTTGTCTATGGATAAAGTGTATAGACTAGGGAGTTTGTTTTCCCCCAGTTTTGACGTGGCTTTGACATCGAACGATGTAAACCGAGCGCCACCTGGTAACATTGATTCCCGTGAATACCTGACAGACAGGCATCTTAGTATAGACACTATGACAAGCACTGACAATCAGACATAACCACAAAAAATGATGGAAAAGGCGGGAACTGACAGTACACGGACGTACATAACATAAATTTCAAAGGTTTGACAAATTGAGAAAATTATTCCACGAAGTGGACGACATCTAGGTTACATAATACGAACTCCAAACTGGGGGAAAACAAACTGTTGTCTATGGATAAATACATAATATACAGTACACAAGCTAATGGCACTAATGGGATTGAGTGAGGGAGTTTGTTTTCCCCCAGTTATGACGTGGCTTTGACATGGAACGATGAAAACCGAGCGCCACCTGGTAACATTGGTTCCCGCGAATACCTGACAGACAGGCATCTTAGTATAGACACTATGACAAGCACTGACAATCAGACATAACCACAAACAAAATGATGGGAAAAAGCGGGAACTGACAGTACACGGACGTACATGACATAAATTTCAAAGGTTCGACAAGTTGAGAGAATTAGGAGAAATATGCAAGTTGGTGCAGTTTCCAACTGTGGGAACACGGGAAATCAATTTCACTCTATTCGAATTTCCATCGGATAACGTAATTCTACAAAAATGGAAACAGAATATGATGCGGTCGGCATGGAATATAGGTTCAGGCCACAAAATTTGCGAGGTATTCAAATTTCTTGGGTGGGATATAGAACATTTTTCAGCGCATTTTTATCAGGTACACTTCGAAACGGAAGATTTGATGTTGAAGAATAGGATCGTACTGAGAGAAACAGCCGAACCCACAATTTATAAACTGAGCGAGTATCGGAAAGAACCTTATTCCAATTTAGAACCAACAAGAAACGAAAAACTTGCAGGTATGGAAATTCATTTCGAACATATTTTGAAAGAAAAAGACTTGAGAATCGAATATTTGATAAAAAAATCCAAGGTTTACGAGTGGAAGAGAGTGAGGAATTTAGGAAACAAATAGAAGAAAAAAATAGAGTTGAAAAAAGATTTAGATACAAAAGTGAGAGTTAGCAAAATTCATTTCTTCATTTATTAATTACTTATTACCTACCACTCTAGTACAAGTGACATTGTTCCATACGAAATAAAAGTATCTTCCATTTCTATTTCCGAACTTTTGTGATAAAAAAATATTCAACTTGACGTATATACCGGGTGACACAGGAGACATGTAGCAGCCTGTAGTTTTTTTATTTGAAGAGATAAAATTTTGAAATTCACAGGGGGTATATAATAAATGGTAGCGCACTTTACGAACTTAACGACAATTTTTTTCAACCACCTGTTTGACCGGAAGTGACCCCAACTTTTTTTTTTAAATGTCACCCTGTACATTTCTTCAGTCTATCTTTTTCGCCTTGAAATTCTCTATCCAACCATGTATCACGAAGTGGCATTTATTTCTCAATTCGCTGTTGAATTGCTTTTTATTCAAAAAGAATAAGTTGGCTGTGACATGAATTCGATGATATATCGACACTTGGTAGGCTTTGAAATTTAAAGATCATTAACCGATATTATTCAAAATGTTTTGATATTCTGATCAATGTCTGCAGGTTGTCAATAGCTTGTTTGAGTCGAGATGAAAACCTTCGAAAATAACTCATGATATTGAGGAATCTAAGATAGGAACATATTTTTTCGAATTCAGCTACTCGTACAGAAACTATCTGTCTTTTATTTTCGCCATGTACCTATCACATGATCTTCCCATTTGGAATAATAAAACTAAAATTGTTCCTCTTTTACGATGATCCACAGGGCTATCAGTCTATTTTTTCATAATTATTTTACTTAGTAGGCGGTGTACCTACACAAAATGTTTTGTGTTTGACAGTTAATCGATTGCATCAATAATTTTTCTTCTTCATTTGTGTGTTGATTAAAATTGAATATTATCAATAGAGACGGTAAATGTATTCAAGAAACGAAAAAGTCGGTTGAAAAAATTGTCGTTAAGTTCGTAAAGTGCGCTACCATTTATTATATACCCCCTGTGAGTTTCAAATAAAAAACCTACAGGCTGCTATATGTCTCCTGTGTCACCCGGTATACCTACATATAAGACTTATTTTATAGGAATAGTATATGTATTTCGTTGGTATATATGCACATACCAACTTGATATCGATCTCCGCATTGAGGTCCTTCAGCCTCATCATTCAATATTTCGAGAAGCAATAATTTTCTAATCAATTTATCGTACCCTTTCACCCACTCTAGGAGACGCTATGCACTCATACAAAAATCAAAGACAGAGAAAGATATATGGATGTACTCTTCCCATGACTTGTGGAGGAAGATGCGAGGATCCTTTATCTAAGCGAACAACATATTCTTGTCCTTGTTTGGCAAAACATATGATTTGCTTCAAAATCGTTTGTGGTTATGTTTGATTGTCACTGCTTGTCTAGTGTCCGTAATATACAAAAACGTCAAAACAGCAGTGTCAAGTACATTTAGGAACTCTAGGCAAGATAATCTGAATAGATATTAGAATGGTCTTTTTTTTAGTGTAACCAACATACAATTTTCATTATTTCCAGTTGGAACCCACAAGACAAAGACATAGGATTTTTTTTCTCTCTCTATGCTAGCGGAACTACTGTCATACTGTATTGAGCGTTTATATTCGTTGATTAGTATTCACGCTAGAGGTGTTTACCTATGTCGGCTTAATGAGAAAGCAATCTAGCCAGCTCTGGCGTAGAGGGCCACAGATGGCTAGGTTCCTTTCTCATTTTGACATCCACCTTTTTCTTACAATGCTACTAACTCAACTCTGTTGAAATATATAGAGGTTCGATTATATTTATTTTTTGGCAGTAGCAAAAAATTATTCTGAAACGTTTTACTTTACGTAACTAGTTGCGTAAAGTAAAATATTATATAACTGGTTTTGTAAAGTTCATTTCAACACCGCAGTTACGTAATAAAAATATGGATGGACGAAGAGAATAGTAGTTTAGTAGGTACACAATTTTTTTAGCGTGCTGCGCTTTTGGTGTTCAAAGATTTTTCCATATTTCAAAGTGACGGGCGAAGTCAACTTGTCACTAAATTTTGTACATAATCGGTAGACCCCTGGACGTATGAACATACGTCCATGGGTAGAACTCATCTAGAATTGGTTATTATATCTGTCCAATTGGAATTTTTCATCAAAATTAGAAAAAATATTGTACATTACAAGGTAGGAAACGCATTTTGTGTACGTAAATATCTATTCTTATAATTTTATTTTCAGCAATAGGCTGCTCAATAAACATTTATTTGGGAAACGAAAAAGAGGTCTAGCACTAAAAGTGAGAAATAAAATTCGACCTGTCTACGTTTTGATCCAGATTTTGATATGGTTACATTCATTATCAGGAAGACGTGGATAATCTAGAATTCTAGAACAGGGTGTATCATCCAAAAATATAATGCTAGTGAATTTTTATAATTATATTTGTTGGAAAAGGTTCCACATGTACAAAAAAGTATTTGAACAAATTTCTCCAGACTTGAACAGAAACATAGGCATGTAAATCTGCCTATTGCACCTCACACGAACACATTTTACCGAAACTTATAACTAACAACTATATGATTATATCATAGAATAATATATTGAATCATAATCAACTTAATAATAACCTTCCAAGTAACTCAAAAAAATCTGTTAATGTTCAATAGCTAAAGTAAATTATAATTATTTTATGACGGTTCTTTTTATCTAAATAATTACTTGTATCTTGTGTTACATCAATATGAATCTAGAGATTAAACACACTGATAAATCATTTTGAATGGTTGTTGTACTACTGGTTACTCGGCATCATGGTACTGCACCCTGAAATTCACATATTGTATATGGTGGCATTGGTGATGGGTGTTGAAACGTAATTGGTTTAGGTTTTTTTGGTATCCCAGCGAGCACAAACATCCCTGGGATGTTTTGTGAGGTTTTGAAAATGTTGGCATGAGGATGTATTTTTGAGACGTTATATGACTTCCCAAAGAGGTCTTTGAAGGATATTAAAGTATTGTTTTTGTTCTTCTGTGGCATTTCTTTGTGTGCCAACTGAGAGGTATCCATGGGATGTTTTGGGATGTTTTAAAAATATTGGCATGAGGATGTATTTTTGAGACGAAACATAACTTCCCAAAGAGGTCTTCGTAGGATATTTTAGTATTGTTTTTGTTCTTCTGTGGCATTTCTTTGTGTGCCTACTGAGAGGTATCCCTGAGATGTTTTGGGATCTTTTAAAAATATTGGCAAGCGGATGTTTTTTTGAGACGTAATATAACTTCCCAAAGAGGTCTTTGAAGAATATTGAAATTATTGTTTTTGTTCTTCTGAGCCATTTCTTTGTTTGCCCCACCACAATTTCTCATGCACACGTCACAGTACTATGAATTCTAATTTTTTTTCCGATTTTGCATGTTGTTCTTGTTCGCATTCGCATTTGCAGTGTCTTTTTTATTCATTCCATTAGGTATTAGTTATAATACCAACGACCTCCATAATTCGTAATAGTATCCCAAACAGCACCAGAATATACCTACTTTACGAATAATATTCTGACAACGTGTTCTGTTCTGCTCAGAATGATCATAGAATAATATGTTCATCCTGGCAACGAATATTCCATGAACATTCAATTCGACATACAGAATCGTATCAAAATATGATATGGATGTTATTCTTGTATCAATATTTATAATGTTTCTTCTGACTCACCCTTATTCTCAGCCTCAATGCTAATAATTATTATCTTACTTAGTGCATGTTGACATCTTTCTATTCATACTATTAATCAATACGGGTCCCATGGCTTAGTGGACAAGGTGCTAGGATGGTAAAAATTCAATCTCTATAGAGTGAGTTCGAATCCCCAGCTTTTTTTTAATTATATTCTTTTCTTCTTAAATATATATCCACCAGGAATGTTTTATTTGCAGCGAATGAATGTGCGCAAAACGCTTGGGAAAGGATATGTTATGTCCATAAAAAGTCTATAAAAAAAACAGGGAAAATGTATTTTTGTGACATCCCAAGGATATCTTTATAAACGCCGCCTGCGGCGGACATTGGCTGTTCTATGAAAGTTCTATTCCTGTATGAACAGAACATCGCAGTGGAGGTTCTATGTCTCAACATCTCGTACTTTTAACATCTCTGAGATGTATTTGTGCTCGCTGGGATGTTTTCGTTTACACAAAAAATATATAATACTGTCAAAAAATATATAATACTGTCCAATAGGCAAAACTACTAAGTCTGAAAACATTTTTTCCGTTAACTATGTTGGAATCTTCAGAAGATTTGAAATGAAATATCCTATTTTAGGATGTTGCTTAAATACAAAGTATGTTCGCTCATGTTCACCTGAAAGTGGAAGACACTAACCGTGCAGTTAATCCTAAATCACTAAATTATACAGAGGAATGGGAATGGAATAGCTCAATGGGCGAGTGGACTAATAATGATTTATCGGCATTCAATTACCCCACTGTGTCGTAAGGTACCTAAATTAATCTTTCCAAAACTTTTCACGCTTTTTTTATGTAAATAATGAGTCCATGCGTTCGAAATTATTGAATTTCAGAGCTCATTTCAAACGTACCATCATGGGCGCCATTTGGCGATACATCGAATAAAAAATGATGACGTCAGTTGCTATGCTGTTTCGTTATTGGTCAGATAATCTTCCATTCCCACTCATGAAGCAAGGTTGTCAGGTCACAAATTAAAATCAAGTTATCAAAGGGATGTTAAGAGTCTTGTCGTTGAATAAAACAGAATAGGAGGAACCCATGATATTATAGTTCATTTTTGACATTTTCAAGCAACGAGCATGTCCAAATATTTCTTAAACTCCATAACAAAATATCATGTAAATGTTGGAGACTTGTCAACATTGCGCTGAATAATGAGAAGTGAGAACTGACAAGACCACGTCCACAAATCGTGCACCGTGTTGTCACGTTTACCGGTTCAAATGTCCTCTAGTATGAATTAATATAATTACTATACACACAAATTTATTATGAGCAATAAACCACTAATCGTATGGAAACATTGTGAGAATAGATTTTTTATTGCTAATTAGGAATAGTATAAATACAAAATTGAGAATTTATGAATAATTGAATAACTAACTGAAGTTCCCAATCCAATTTCAACATATGGTAATTGTGCTATGGTCTGACCCTACTTAAGAAATCGTTTTTACTCGCGGTTAATTTCTAGCTGTTTGAAAATTACCGTGGCATTATTGATGATTTTAGCACCTCAAAATCGACCGAAACATTCTAAAAAAATATGGAATTGAAAGGTATGATTCTATTTAAGAAATAAAAAAATTTAGTCCACTCGCCTATTCCCAGAATTCATTACACAGCAAGACATTTTCATTTATGCTTCCTTCTCAATAGTTTATGAAATTATATTTCAATTCTGACGTTCATGAAATGTATCAACAGACAGACAACTTTGAATGAAAAAGCGCGGGACGACTATGGTGCTCTTTTCACAATGCAAGGTGTGTAACTTAATAAATCTCAACATTCAAAAACGCTAAAATTAGTCATTTCTGTGTCCTGTATCTAACTAATACCATCCAGTAACTCGAATATGAATTAACCAAAGTAACATTTTCAATAAATAAATAAATAAAAGGTATCTGGGTGTCACATCATTTGGTCCTACAATTTTTCCTCGCCAAATATATAAATGAATCCTGGGAATACAATACATGAAGAAACATATATTTCAAAAATAATGTATGAATCTAGAGTTCTGTGAGTTTTTTTTTCAGTGATCAATTCGAGCTATTCAATTACAAGACTAAGGGCCGTATGCATATAGTATTATTCTACTCTACTGCATCATCGAAAGTATGCGTTTGCTCCCTCATTTAAGGACACAAACTTGTCAATTTAATTCAATTTGATTTCATTCAAAGACCTCCGTGGAAGGTAACATATGGCTTTAGCATTATTCCTTGGTAGAGATAAGATCTGTGCTACCCAAGTACCCAATCAGTGTCTCCATCACTACTATGAAACAAATAACAATTTAATTTTTGAACTCCAATCATCTCATACACTTCCACATATTCTAACTTACTCAATCGAAACTTTAAATAAAATCCAATTTTTTTTATGTTCTGGTTCCTATGAAAAGGGATATCCTGTAATGTTCAGAGAACATCGTGAGAACCAAGGGAAATAAGGTAGGAATTGTTCTTCTTAAATTACACAATAAACAAATTCAATGTGACAGAAGGGTCAATGTCAAGTTGATTTTCGTTCAGATTCAAACTGTCTGTAACCTTATATCATGTAACACATCGATATGAATCGAGAATGGGTTGCGTGCAAGAACTGTCAGATGACCGACGCTGGAGGCAAAACATTGAAACACAACGTCACTTTTCTTATTTGTTTACAAGTGATCGAAATAGTTTTCCACAATTATTTTGGCATATGAATCGTATTTTTCCGCTATTCATCAATTCGCTCATGCCATCACATTGTGCTGTTGTAAAATGCACAAAAACTGCAGCGGAAGATGAAGCAATCCGGATGGTACATTATGATTTAAAAGTGAGTACCTACTATAGTCACTCAGTCACTCACATATAGTTTTCATTTTTGAAATTTGGTTATTTCTCTGAGTTCTCATCGGAATTCCTTCTGCAATAGGAGCTAATAGAAATATACCTGAAATTTCTAGAATGCAAGAAGATTGGATTCATGCAATCAATCGGGCGGACTGGTCTGACATGCTGACGATCGTGTGTGTTGTAGACATTTTCAATCTATTAGCAGCATTAGCTTGTATTGCAGAAGTGGCAGAAGGCAGAAGGAATTTTAATAAGGAATGACAACATTTCATAATGATATCTATGTGAGATTACTATTTACCCGAAAAAGCATATTCCCTAGTCTCTTGCTGCATTTTTTGTGCATTGTACAACAGCACAAGGCGAAGGCGGCATGCTTGAATTAATGAATAACGCAAGAAACACGATTCGTATGCCAAAATATTGTGAAAAAATATTTCAACCTTTTGATTCCTCTGTAAACAAATAAAAAAGTGAGTTATGTTTCAATAATTCACAGAACAGTGAGGTTGTGTTTCAATATTTTGCCTCCAGGGTCGGTCATCGTGCACGCGACCTATCGAGAGATAGACCACTTGAAGCACAACTTTAAGAACGACGCTCTCAAATATATACCTTCATGGTAAAATCATATATACATCTCGGGAGCAAAAGTTCATTTCCTCCCATGTGCTACGCGTCGGGCATCAAATCTTCACACGCGAGAGTAAATAGATACTTTTTCTCCCTTGATATATAAATAGCTATTACCTCTCCCTTCCTCGGAATCTTTTGCTGAGTCGTCTGGAATACTCCTGTGTGCTCAGCGTGTAACGCTGTACTTGCTTTCTGTTGACTCTCAATTCTTTCTCATCAACTTCTCTCGCCTTGTCCACCTTCACAAGAAACGTTAAATCAATACTCAACACAATAACCATCAACTTTTCCATCTCCAAAACTAAGCATCTGAAGACTAAAGTTATTGAAGGAAAACATTACTACCTTCGACATGAACTTCACAATGAGATCCTTGCAGTCCATGTTCTCTTCAGGTTCCCAGCTGTTTTCTGCATTCCCATATCCCTTCCAGGATACAAGAAATTCCCTTTTTCCATCTCTTCGATGGTGAACCTCCAGAATTCGATCAACCTTTAATGATTTTTTATGATATTATGACAGGTTCTAACACTGGTGTTTTGATATGGTGTAATATTATCCTTTCCATGCAAATTTTCCTGAATTATTTCTTCAACCAGATGAATATTAATCTCGAGTATCAAGAATATTTCCTATTGATTTGTCGATTTATTTTGATTGTCAAATGAGGCTGATCAATGATCTTCACACTAATGCTTTCAATTTTGTTAATTCTCGAAAATTTCCTGATTGGTCATCATTTGGATATAATATGTAGATATTTTAGGTAGAGTTGAATCAGGAATTCCATGTGGAAATTACGTATGATACTATAACCTAAAAAACAACAAATGCCAGAAATGTAGTGTTTATCCCCAGAATTGAATAAGGGTGGAACTATATAATTGTTTCACAAACACTTTAGGGAGGAGACGAGGATCTGTCCGTACCCTGTTAAGGTGACAAATACGTCAGTTTGCATCAAGGAGCCCTAGGTTATACCTATCAAAAGAATGTCAAAAACAAACAATCGCAGTTCTGTTTTTCAATATTTTCGTCAACATTCAAAATTGAAGATCTAAAGTAATAAATTCTTCATCATCGGGCTCCGCCTCCATCACTCGAAATTTTTTCTTTCCCCTTTGGCGACCCATCACACCCCAAATCTACTTTTACCTTTTCCAAAGAGTTTACCCCTTCTTAAAATTGAGACCTAGCATTGCCCTTCCACTTATCACAACAGTGTCAGAGTCAGAACACAACCATTTGGGGAGGCGTTGGAGACGAACTATTCGCCCACTCACATGGAACCTAACATAACCATAGGCAGTAATTCGCATCTAATTTCAGGTACCCGACAAAAACGGTTACATAAACTGAAATATTTTAAATTTAATGAATTGCGCACCAACATCCAAACCAACCAACTATATTTTTCCTGTTGGCCAAGTGTTGGTACAGTTGTATTTAAAAAAGCGTACGTATTAGAGAAAGCCATTAACATTTGCGTGAAACGCTATCGGGAATGATTCTTTACCAAACGTTGACATTTGTCATAGGTTTGCTGAGCCAATTTTACACTAGAACTAGGATGACGTTGACCTACCTCCCTTTTGAATAAATGTACGCTTTTTTATTGAATACAACTGTTCATAACAACAAAAATAATTATGACATAAATGATGACTTCCATGATTACAATACTAGTGGCAAGCAGGTAATAAGACCTGTTGAATTCAGACTGCAAAATTCCAACAAATATTTTATTTATCTGAATCACAGGGTCTCCCGAAATTACAAAGAAATATTTTAACCACAGATTGAAGAAACATAAATAGTAAAAAAAGTTCATATAAACTAATACTTTTCATGTTAGTTATATCCTGTACCAGCCAACAACATTTCATCACCTAGTATATGGATGTTTCCATATATCCAACTGCATAGCCTGCATCGCATCTTCTAGAGTTATCAAGAACGTGACGCCATCAGCAAGAATATGATACTTTCTTAGAATTGTAACTGCAGGATTATTATCTAGATTTTTCTCAAGAACTTTTGATACAGAGATTGTTATTCCATACTTCGAAGACTCAACACGCTCCCAGAGCAACACATGCATGGTTTACTTGGTTTGAATAAATAGTTTCATTAAAATCAACCGTAGACCATCATTCATAATTTGTTTTATTTGGACATATTAAGAATTTTCCTAAATTTTTATCACGGGCGGGGGAAATAGATGAGGCTAGGAGCATTTCTTCCCCCAATTTTTTTCAATCGGCAGATTGATTAGGAAATATAAAAATATATTTTTTTCCTGAAAATGATACTCCTGTTTAGTTGAGTCGTTATATCAATTATAAAAGTCTGCTGCCCTAGAGGTAATTCATTATGATGATCCCTAACTGATTCTTGCATAAAATACAGGGTGATCCATTAGCAAATAAAAAGTTGGGGTCGCTTCCGGTGGAACCGGAAATGATGAGAGTGTATGAATTACCGAAAAAAACCCGGGGTCTCGAATCATTACTTACCGGAATAAAGTTTATGAGCGGACGGCATTGCCGAACGTGTTGGGTGGATACGATACGCAGTGGCGGTGAATATAATTGTAAAAATTGTTTAATGAAAAATTATCATTTGTTAATATTCGGCATTTTGTTAATTCAACTAAATAATTATAAGGACATAAAGCCAGGAAAGTAGCTGTTTTTCTCTCGTTATCTACCAATTTCGGTTTCGTTTATGAACATTTGTGGAAATTACTTTCAGCTTTGCGTATTTATTCAACATTTCATTCCACTTTGAGCATTTTGGCTTTTTCTTAGTTAAAATCATGCCAGTCGGGCAACCAGCCCAGTTTTGGAGTGTTTCTTTCCTGCTCAGGTGGCGTTTCTTGTCCTTCTCGCGGATACTGTACACCTCTTGGGTAATAAATGAAGAATTGAAATTGAAAGCATTAGAGTAAAAATTCTGAACAACGATAAAAAAGCATATGTTTGTTGTCTAGAAGTAACCCTGAAAAATTATATAGGTAGGCACTTTTTTCACACTTTTTTTCAGAAGTGTTGAGAAACCTAAAAACTGAAACACATACTTTACACAAAGTTCATTTTTCTCAACAATAAGGAACAAGCATAATTTTTATGTCTATCAAAATTAGATTATATTTGTCATGATTATCACTGCCAATTCATTTAGATATGATCTAATATTTAGTTCTCAATTATATTCAATTATTATTGTATGATACACATATTATGCAGTTCTCTAAAATTCAATTTTATGTTTGAGAAACAGTTTTGCTGATAATGTATAATTTATGTTATTCCTTGAAATTGATATGCCTTCTACCTCCAATAGTATTTTATAGCTCCTATGTTTGAGATTCACATTGATTCAAAACATCATGTGGGCCAAATCCCAAGATATACCTTGCATATAGAAAAATATGTCCATTTTGTAAATACTAGCATACAAAGAAATTGTTCATCAAATCTCTTTCATATATTCAAATAGTACATTCCACAATAATGTGTACAGTGTGTCCAGTTTCTGATGCATTTGCATGATATCTCAGTTATCTTTGGAGATAGAACCTTGCGGTTTTCGCGATCCTTTGCCGCTTTATTGTGAAACTCAAGATGGCCTTATCAGATTTTGTAATACTGTTTCCGTCTTCCGAGGTACAGGGCGATTTTGAAAATTTATATTTTATGAACCCCCTCTATATCTACGTAGTTTCTCTGCGAAAATGCAAAATTAAAATCTCATCACATTAAGAATTTTACGTCGAATACAGTGGCGCACTCAATTTTTTTTTCGGGGTATCGTTTTGGAGATACGACTCAAAATTATGATTTTTTAAATGGAACGCCCTGTATTTTATATGCTCATTAAATTCTCAATATTTTTTCCCTTCAAAATGATACATGATGTATAAATATAGAATTTTCAAGAAGGCTCCAAAATAACTAAAACCATGAATTTTGAAAGTGGGCGATGGATTTTTCATATAAAAAAAATTTAATTGAAGGAATATTTCTTTTGAATTTTCCATGAAGAGGACAAAAACTATACCAACACTAACTAACTATGAGAACACAAAACATTGGTACCTGATAGCAATAAATAGTAGGTATTAAAAAGTTTATAATGTAGAATAAGCACCTGATTAAATATTTACTAAAACAATTGGATTTCGGAATTATTCAGTAACTCATTCATTAACACACAATTGACACACTTTCTCAATACATCTTGTAAGAGGCACAACAATCTTGGAGAACTTCGTGCAACAACAGAGGCAGTTTTCCAGGAATTGCAAAGACATCCTTCAATGATTTTGAATGCATTCAGACATATTGAGAAAGTGTTTGAGAGAAAATGGACGTCAATTTGAACAATTAGATGAATTAATTACTGAATAATTCCGATATTCAATTGTTTTATAATTCCGAAATTCATTTGTTATAATACATTTTTAATCAAGTGCCTATTCTACATTAGGAACTTTATTACTATTTATTTGTTGCTTTCAGGTACCTTAGATTTATGTTTTGTTAGTTAATTTGTGATGGTATTGTTTTTGTCCTCTTCATGGAAAAATCAGAAGAAATATTCCTTCAATTGGAACTTTTTTGTATCAACATTCTATAGCCCACTACTGAAATTCAAAGTTTTAGTGATTTTGGAGCATTTTAGAAAATGTTGATATTTATACATCATATATCATTCTGAAGGGAAAATAAGGGATTCAATGAGCTTAAAAAATCATAAGTTTGAGTCGTATCTTCAAAACCATACCCCGAAAAAAAATTAGTGCGCTACTGGATTTTGCGTAATATTCTCTATGGGATATGATTTCAATTTGACATTTTTGCTGAGAAACTTCGTAGATATAGAGGGAGTTCATGTATAAATTTTCAAAATCGCCTTGTATCTCATTAAAGAAAACAGTTATGCAAAATCTGATTAGGCTAACTTGAGATTGATAAAAAAAATGGCACAGATCCGCGAAAACCGCAAAGTTCCATCTCCAAAGATAACTGAGTGTTCCGTCCATCTCCTTTGTTCTGTCCTTTTATGTAAACTTAAAATAATAATGAATTTCTATGCATTATCTGCTATCCGTGTTTGGCTCACTGTATATCTCAAAATTGAATTCGCGCATCAGGTCTTCAAGGTTTTACATGCAGCGCCTCCAAGTGGCCACCGCGGATAAAAGAATCAGAACTTTTCGTACATCGAATCCGACATTCAATTCGATCGCCTTGGATCTTTCCAAGTAAAATTTTCTCAACAATAGCAAAATATCCGTCCTCCAGACGTTAATGGAACGTTAATGGAACATTAAGTGTCCAATTAAGGATTAGTTATCTCTCGTGACGCGAGTGGTACCAGATAGTTCCTGAGGGAAGACCATTCCTCCCATACGTCCAGTCCAGAATGCCGGCCGGCCCGTCTCAACATAATTCCACGGAATAACCATAAGGTAAGATCTTATCACGGAAAAGCATCGAGAACTGGACACACAATGAAGAGCATCATCCATAATTCAAAATAATAAATTAGGTCTTACTTCAAAGTCCTCATTTTCATCCCATTCAGGTTCCTCGGTATCTTTCTTTTCTTTCTTGAGTGGCTTTTTGACTTTGCTCTTCTTCTTTTTTTCTTGGTACTCTTCAATCAATTCTTTGCAGTCGAGAGTATCCTCGGGCTCCCAAGTGTCACTTTCTTCTTCATATCCTTTCCATCTGATGAGATAGTGGCGGATTCCACCAATTTTTTTTTCATCAAGTACAGCTTGTACCTGATCAATATTTATTAAGAATGGATGGCCCATTTTCAGATAACAAGCAAAAATTATTAGTTTGTATGCTATTATTTTTCAACAGTCAAATTTGGTATCAATTAGAAATGTTAGTGAACATATTTCATTTATGACCAATACAAAATTCAAGTATCATACTTGTGGTTTTTGCAGAATAATGCCATACTGCTTTGCTTTAGGGAATAATGATTACTACATTTCTATCCTGAAGTGAATAATACCTATATGGCTTTATATTGCTGTGTGCTGAAACCACAAGTATTATACCTACTTGAGTAATATTAATGTTGAATGAAGTAGTGTATACTATAGTAGACAGTATTCAATAATATTATCTGTAGCTATGCTGTGTGAAACACAGGAAGTGTATAAACTGCCGAGCAGTCAGCAATCTATACGTTTTTTTTAGGTTGCCGACCATTACTAAATTAAATTATTTTCAATAATTTATCAATTCTGAGAAAGAAAATAACATGGTATTAAAACGAAACTTCTAAGAAGATGAGATATACTTACACAAACATACTAACCCATGGGTGCAACAAACACCTTATCAAAAAAATCGTGTGAACTATTAGGAAAAAATAAAACAAAATATAAAAAGAAATGGATGTATATACTCAAACCAAACAGACTAACCGATTATTGAAACAAAAAATCTGATGAATGTATTCCACTTTTTAGTCCACTGAATGGTCGGCAGTCTATACTTATTTGTTGGGTTGCCGACCGATTTTATACAGAAAGAATGTATTCCACTGAATGGTCGGCAGTCTAGAGAAAAAGTATAGTTTGCCGACTGGTCGGCAGTCTATACACTTTCAAAAATATATGGGGCGATCCAAATCAAAAGTTCTGAAGCAATGATGCATATGGTCTGGATTATTTGCTATGTAAGTTCAAGGAATGATAGTTTAATTTTTCTATTATTTATTCCATCATTAATTACCTCATATTGAGTTTCATTTTCCTCATCTTCATCTCCTTGATCTTCCTGCACTTCTTTAGCTGCAGGTTTCCTCCCTTTCTTGTTTCCTTTTTTCTTGTTCAGGAGAGAAAGTTTAATTGAATTAGAAATATTACAATCCAGTTCACAATAATCTATCAAATAATATTAGGAGATTCGAATCTGCACAAAAATCAAGGTTTGATGAAAATAAACATGGACCAATAAATCAACTTGAACACTAATCAACTAGGTACATCTTAATCTGTGATCTGTGACTACACTCTGCGACTTCATATTATTATGTATTTCCTATAAAATCCAAAGCACTACTGCCATACAAGCATAATTGTGTATTTTCCTTTGAAGTATAAATTAAAAAACTGGAGACAGAAGCACATTACTATTACTGTCAATATATAAATACCCAGATAAATACTTATATACAATATATCTACCAGGGTCCGTCTGATGCATAAACATAAAGTGTATAGGCTGCCGACCAGTCGGAGGAATATACTTTTTCTCTAGACTGCGGACCATTCAGTAGAATACATTATTTCTGTATAATATCGGCCGGCAATCCAAAGAAAAGAGTAGTATGCCGACCGGTCGGCAGTCTATACACTTTCAAAAATATATGGGGTGATCTAAATCAAAAGTTCTGAAGCAATGATGAATATGGTCTGGATTATTTGCTATGTAAGTTCAAGGAATGATAGTTTAATTTTTCTATTATTTATTCCATCATTAATTACCTCATATTGAGTTTCATTTTCCTCATCTTCATCTCCTTGATCTTCCTGCACTTCTTTAGCTGCAGGTTTCCTCCCTTTCTTGTTTCCTTTTTTCTTGTTTAGGAGAGAAAGTTCAATTGAATTAAAAATATTACAATCCAGTTCACAATAATCTATCGAATAATATTAGGAGAGATTCGAATCTGCACAAAAATCAAGGTTTGATGAACCTAAACATGGACCAATAAATCAACTTGAACACTAATCAACTACATCTTAATCTGTGATCTGTGACTACACTCTGCGACTTCATAATATTATTATGTATTTCCTATAAAATCCACAGCACTACTGCCATACAAGCATAATTGTGTATTTTCCTTTGAAGTATAAATTCAAAACTGGAGATAGAAGCATATTACTGTCAATACATAAATACCCAAATAAATACTTATCTACAATATATCTACTAGTAGTGATGTGAAGGGGGGAACGTTCCCTTTGTGCTGTGGGGAACGTTCGCGCACGATGAATCGATCGTGCGCGCATGATAGATCGTGCTTTAGCACAAACGAGAATTTTCAGCACGAACGAGAATATTCAGCACGAACGAGAATTTTCAGCACGATCCCGACCAATCAGCGCGCTTCATCTGCTTGTATCGCATGTGAATCCCCTTGTTTTGTTTTGGTGGTTCGTTGAGGAGTGAAAGCACAGATGCAAAGGTAAGCGCGTGTGGTTAAAGTGAATTATTCGTGTTGTGTTTTTTGTTTTTCCTCGTGTTTTTCAATATGCTCAGAAGAATTGATTTCTTTCTTCATATAAAACGGAATGTTCGGATACCAGCGTTGGGCCAGAAAGTTTCGAAGCGAATATTGAAGATTTGGAGTTTGGAGTAGAAGAGTAGAATAGGTTTATAGCTAGTTTATAGATGAAACATATTACTTCTCAACCTAACATGTTATTTACAGTTCATTTTTATATCCAATTGTTACTAGAGATTTTGCCATTTTTCTACTTAATAAAGGTTTTTTATTATGTTATATTATAGAAGTTAATTCTTTCTTTATTACTGTATTAGTTGTAACCTCGGTTGTAACACGCAGAATATCGATACAGCGTGTCATTTTCTTATGGAGCATTAGGAGAATTATGAGCATTTTCAGCATTTTCAGCAATTTGAGAATTTTGATCATTTTCAGAAAGAACCACGAAAACTATGTTTTTGGATACTTTACTACACCCCAAACATAAATTCCCGGGTTTTTTTCGTTTATGCTCGTTTATTCTCGTTCATGCTCGTTCGTGCTCGGGGAACGTTCTCCAAAAATACTTTCCCGAGAATTTTACATCACTATCTACTAGGGTCCGTCTGATGCATAAACATAAAGTGTATAGGCTGCCGACCAGTAGGAGGACTACACTTTTTCTCTAGACTGCGGATCATTCAGTAGAATACATTATTTCTGTATAATATCGGTCGGCAATAAAAAAAAGAGTATAGTTTGCCGACTGGTCCGCAGTCTATACTTTTTTTTGGATGCCGACCAGTCTGCCGACCATTCAGTGGAATACATTCTTTCTGTACAACAAAATAATCTAAGTCCATCAGTAGTTCAGAGGTTAGACATTGGCTTATCAATCCTGTGGTCCCGTTATCAAATCTCACATAGAGTTTTTTTTTCAATCAATTTTTTTTCATCAGATTTTTGTTGCACTAATCGGTCTGTTTGGCTTGAGTATACATCATTTACTTTTTATATTTTAATTTTTTCTTATCTAGTTTTTCCTTCCTCCATATTTAGTTCCCAAGTTTTTTTTATCAGGTCATTGTTCCACCAATAGGTTAGTGGTATGCAGTCTAAACAAAAAGTATAGTTTGCCGGACGGTCGGCAGCCTAAAAAAAGATATAGATTGCAGACTGGTCGGCAGTCTATACACTTCCATTTATTTAGTTATATATGGTCTATACACCTTCAAAAATATATGGGGTGATCCAAATTAAAGTTCTGTTCCAATGATAAATATTAGAGATGATCTGGATTATTTGCTATGTAAGTTCATGGAATGAGTTTAATTTTTATATCATTAATTACCTCATATTGAGTTTCATTTTCCCCATCTTCATCTCCTTGCTCTTCCTGCACCTCTTTGGCTGCAGGTTTCTTTCCTTTCTTGTTTCCTTTTTTCTTCTTCAGGAAAGAAAGTTCAATTGAATTACAAATATTACAATCCAGTTCACAAAAATCTATCAAATAATATCAGGTATGATAGTATGATAGTAGCATTCATCAATTAACAATCATTAATTAACAAGTGATGATAATATCAACATTAATGCAAACCAACTTAACAATTAATGAACTAATAGTACGCATGCGCACATGCCCTGAATCTGGGCTATCAAAGAAATAACCTTAAAAATTCGTTGTTTACAATTTACATGAGGAGCTAAGATTTCAAATTTCAAAATATTTTCTGTTTTGAAAGAGACTGGGTTAATTTTATTCACAATTATGGGTTGCGTGCAAGAACTGGAGTCATAACATTGAAACACAACCCCACTTTTCTTATTTGTTTACAAGTGATTGAAATAGTTTTTCACAATTATTTTGGCATAGGAATCGTATTTTTCGGCTATTCATCAATTCGCTCATAACATCACATTGTGCTGTTGTACAATGCACGAAAACTGCAGCGGAAGACGAAGGAATCCGGTTGGTACATTATGATTTAAAAGTAAGTACTTACTATAATCACTCACATAGTTTTCATCTATGAAATTTGGTAATTCCTCTGATTTCTCATCGGAATTTCGTCTGCAATAGGAGCTAATAGAAATACACCTGAAATTTCTAAAATAATGCCGAAGATTGGATTCATGCAATCAATCGGGAGGACTGGTCTGACATGCTGACGATCGTGTGTGTTTTAGACATTTTCAATCTATTAGCAGTATTAGCTTGTATTGCAGAAGTGGCAGAAGGCAGAAGGAATTTTAATAAGGATTGACAACATTTCATGTTGATGAATATGTGAGATTACTATTTGCCTGAAAAATCATACTCTTTAGTCTCTTGCTGCATTTTTTGTGCATTGTACAACAGCACAATGCGAAGGCATGCTCGAATTGATGAATAGCGCAAAAAACAGGAATCCTATGTCAAAATATTGTGAAAAACTATTTCAATCCTTTGATTCCTCTGTAAACAAATAAAAAAGTGAGGTTGTGTTTCAATAATTCACAGAAAAGTGAGGTTGTGTTTCAATATTTTGCCTTCAGGGTCGGTCATCGTGCACGCGACCTATTCGCGATAAAATAACACGTCGCCCCATCTAACGGCAACAACTAGAACACTTCTGAGCGGTTTGTTTTGATGGTATGACCAATAAGCACAAACAAAAAACAACAAGCGTCTATAAACACCGGAGGCTCTCTGCATCCGATGATGTCCGATCATGGTCGGACGTCGCCGCTGATGCAGAGCACGCGCCAAATTTAAAAACATAATAATAATCAATGAGTATCAAGTGATCGAGTGTAATGTTTTGGAAAAATTATGCAAAGTATTTTTTTCTTTCCGAATGAAATGCTTATATTGCGAGAGCTAAACATTCCAAAGGCCTCACATGTTTTTTTTTATATCAGGACAAAATTGACACAATAAACACAACTTATATTTACTTATTAATTTTTTTTTTGGTGGATACATCAGATTTATTGCGATATTATCGGCGTCCATATCATCTGGATGGATTAATTTATTACTAAATAAGTCGTTTATTATAGGAACAGCTTTTTTGATTGTTCGGTATAAACGTCTCTGTTGAGTAACTTTTTTATTTTGATGCGTTTCAGATGGTAACTTGTCGGAAAATGCCATACTGGTTTTCTCCCTCCTCATCGCTATAAATGTGACTATACTATCAACGAGTTTAATAAGCTCTAGTTTGAATTTTTCTTTTTCGGAATTCTATTCATTGGTTTCTCTTTTTTCTTTACCAGATTTTAATGCTTCCAGAATCTTCTGCTGGTCAGAAAATCACAATCAAAGCTCTCGTTGATTATTGAATTTCTCTCATCTATAGGAAAGAATGAAAAGGTTGAATATAGAGGTACCTACCTATACTTAATAGTTAATGTTGAAATGTCTGCACATCTAAAAACGCCTACATGAGCATCAGGGCAATAGTCTTTTATATCGAAAATGATCACACTATGTAGCCACCAAGCAAAATACCTGAAAAAAACCTATTCATTCTTTAGGCTTGCAAGTAATTCGATGTAATGTTATTCATGTGCTAGGTACGCACATTTTGAAAACTTGCAAATTGTGGATACTTGGGCCTGTACAGGCCCCAATATTCTGACATATTTTTCGACTCAGAATAGATATAATGAGCTAACAATAATGCATACAAGGTGACCCATCAATAACTTGACATAAGGGTGTAATTGATAAAATACAGGGTGTATCTTAAATGATGACTTTAATTTCAGGTGGTGATTCCTTGTCATATTTCATGACAAAAAGTTACTATAAACGTGTGTCCTAACTTGCTCCGTTTCCGAGTAACGGGGTGTCCAAAGTTTAATGAAAAAGTAAAAAGTAACAGAGAAGCACAGACATTGATTGCATAACGATAACGTTTTGCTATTAATTTCCAATAATATCAAACTCAGCAACAACATCAGCGTACAATAGTTACTACAGTGAATATCACACACCACTGGAAACAAAATTCAAAATCTACTTCCATGAAAAGAAGCTATTACAAATCACAAACACACGAAGTTTAATCAAAATCGGCGAACAGTATTTTGAGTAATTCATGAAAAACCGATATTTAATTCAACTTTGGACACTCCGTTACTCGGAAACGGAGCAAATTAGGACACACGTTTATATGAACTTTTTGTCATGAATTATGACAAGGAATTACCACCTGAAATTAAACTCATCATTTAAGATACACCCTGTATAATGATAGTTCTAGCTACGACGTTGTAAAACGATTGATTACAAATAGGGCACCAAGTCATTCTGGATTTCTGGTAAAGAAGCAAACAATTCGAAAAAATAGTAAAAATACAATGCCAAAATCCATTCATACACACAATAACCACAAATAATAAGAAGTAGCTGGGTGAAAATCAAACGCGCGCGAAAGGCAGCTGCGAATGATCCGAAGGTGATCGGACATCATCGGATGCGGAGAGCCTTCGGTGTTTATAGACGCTTGTCAAAAAACAAATGTGAACCAATGAAAACAAAGTAAACAGGCCGCTTTGACAGCTTTCAAGAAGTCCGATAGGTGGTGTACGCTTATTTTTCATCGCCAATATTGTTGAATGCGATTGTTTTATGTTAAAACAAATTTCATAACATCTGTCAGATATCAGGTCTGACCACTCCATGCTTCCTCTTCCAGTCGATGAAACCAATCCGCGATCATCTGCGTACTATAGTTGCGCACTAGAAGAAAACCTGGTTCAATCAGAGAAAGTTAAAAGTTGGCCAACTTCTTACTTGTTACTTCTTAATTGATGATAATTGTTAAATGTCTGCATAAACACCTTCATTGAAAACAGGAAGTTCAACTTTTAATTGCTACTTGTTAAATGATAAATGACTTGATAATTGCTAATGATGCTGCATAAATCCACCTTGATCAACTACATCACAGATAAACAAACATTAATCTGTGACTACACTCTGCCCCATCATATTATTATCTAATTCCTATAAAATCCAGCATAATTGTGTATTTTCCATTGAAGTATATATTCAAGACTGAAGATAGAAGTACATTACTGGCATTACATAAATACCCAGAGTGACCCAGATAAATACTTATCTACCTATGTACTAGGCTCCGTCTACACAACCGCCGCGGCGGTTGGATACTGGTACATAAACAACTGCCGGCGGTTACCTATTTTTATACAGCAGACCGCCGTGAAACATGAGGAAGGAAAATATCGTTTTTCAAGCAAACTAACTTAACACGACTGAAAATTTAAAAAAAACGTTAGGGTAACGGTTGAACACCAGTCACAACCCCGGTGGTCAGATACACAACTGAGCTATGGCTTTGCTCGGAAGTACTCTCTATGAAGAAGGAAGAAATATCGTCGCGGCGGTTGTTTATGTAGCAGTATTCTATCGTCGGGACAGTATCTATTATGTACTATATACTATATACTGATACATAAACAAACGCCGGGACGATAATAATATGTCTTCTGTCTTCATAGAGAGTACTTCCGAGTAGTTGACAGTAACCCAGAGGTTGTGAGTTCGACTCTCAATCGAGGCGGTGGAGTTTTTTCATTTTCCATTGTCACTCAAAATTAGGGCTTTCATCATCTTCATTATTATATGTAGCTTTTCGGTCGAGTAACCGACAAAAATTATCACTCACTTCTATGTATAGATTGATTGCGGACATTTCCGTATACAAGGTAAGACAATGCCATAGGACGAACGGGGAAAAATGGAGACTGTATAGTACCATCCTGCCAGCGATGCTTCATATAGTGCATAATTTCGATTGACTTTGGGATTTGGAGGGATTCTGCCGCCTGGTGTGTGATGAGAACTCGACCTTCTTGCCGATTGATCGAGAGCGTTGGGCATGTAACCCAGAGATTGTGAGTCCGACTCTCACACGGGGCGGTAGAGGTTTGTAGAGTTTTTTCATTTTCCATTGTCACTCGAAATTAGGGCTTTCATCATCTTCATTATTATAAAAACATTGATAACAAAAAAGAGAGTGCCTGCTCATAAGAATCATAAGAGATACTGTTATATAAGGCCTAAGAACTGAGTTTGATTGACAGGAATTATCACAGGGTGTGCAAAATTTTGTGGTAAACTTTTCAAATTTCAAAGCACTATATTTTTCTTATTTCAAATTGGAGCCCCTGTATATTTTCATGTTATTTGATGCGTGAATGAAGAACAACTCTTTTTCTATGTTAAGGATATCATTTATCAAGAACCTCCTACCACACCATAAAGTATGCAGCAAAGATTCCTTAACGCATTTCAAACCATTACACCCGATCTATCATGAAGAGTGGCAAGGACATTCCATAATCATATTCACTTGTGCCTCCAAGAGGATGGAAGACTTATTGAACATACATTTTAATATGTTGGTAATACCCAGTGTAATACTCCTTTGTTTGTTTTTGATAAGTTTATTACTAGAACTACTGTGATTTTCTATACTTTCATGATGTGTATAAGATATGGATAAATAGTTCTAATAAACTTCTAATATGTTGTATCAAGAAATTTTTCATCAAAGCTTCCTTCATTTTTATTCATGTCATGAAAATATACAGGAGCTCCAATTTGAAATAAGAAAAATAATGCTTTGAAATGTGAAGTTTGCACTCGAGTTTGCACTAAATTGTATACACCCTGTGATGATTCCTGTCAATCAAACTGGCCTCATTTGATATGTATCTCTTATGATTCTATTGACCAAGCACTCTCTTTTATGTTATTAATGTTTTTGACCAGTGGTGCAAGATTTTTTTTTGTTATATTGTTTTTTATGTGAATATCACTGAACTGATTTCAATTAAATTCCAGGAGTACCAAGGTAACCACTGGAAGCGTTCAAATGTGCAACAAAATATATGACATGCAATTAAAAATATATCATTATGATGTCACCCTTTTTTGGGACACCCTGTTTAATGGAATAGAATTAATAATAATTTAGTACAAAAACAAGAGCCTGATAGCCCCATGGGATAGGTCCAAGTTATTATTGCATAAAAAACAATTATTTCAAGAAGATATCTTATAATTGGAGTCCTAATGAAGCCCTCATTGATGAATTGCTTTGAATTTGAGGTTTGAGTAATCTATTTTATGTTATTGATAGTATGAGAGTATTTGATTTCAACCTATAATCTGATCTGTTCCTTTTCATCTCTTATTTTTGGCTTTTATTAATAGTAATTGTTTCATGACCTATGTTTTTCAGAGGTTTTTCAATGTGCTGTATATTATCATTTTAAATTTTTACAAATGAATATGAAGTTTTTCATCAAATGTGTGAATCATAAATTTTGAAGTGATATTTTCTCAATTTAGTACAATATACTTGAATTAAGTACACTGTCGGAATGACTTCTAGTACAAATTGAAATCCTGAAGGGGAGACACTGAATAAAAGACAGGTGAGATGCAGGACCCTGTATATAAAAATAAGTAACCGCCGGCGGTTATTTAATGTATCAGGAATCAGTATCCAACCGCTGCGGCGGTTGTGTAGACGGAGCTTAATTTTAATTGTTTTGTTTAAGGGTTTGTCCCTTGTTTTTTCCCTTCTAAAATGAGGAAGATGAGAATTTTCTTCCGATTATTCATCAAGTGAATTCAGATGTTATGCCCACCTCTTTAGACTCCTTGGTTTTAATAGGTTCCAAGTCTTCATCTGATGGCCCAGAATCAGAATTTGCAGAGTCGGATGCCTGTGCCCTCCTCGAAGCATTTCTACTGCTGGTTTTGGTGGACCTTCTCTTCTTATCAATTGGCTCGTCGTCTTCAACATCAGATGTGTCGCCGTTTTGTTCTTTCAAATCATCTTCCACTCCGTTAGAACTGCTTTTGTCCATCTTCTGAGATTTCCTTCCACTCTTGCGTTTCATTTTGAAAAATTATTTCTACCTACCACAACAGAACAGAGATAACAAAACAGACGCCACCGCTTGCAGTTTCAGTGTTGCCAGTTGTCATTTGTCAAGAATGCCAACATCGAAACTGAAAATCCCACATTTCTTGAAAAACTTTCCCGTCATTTCCCGCCACATTCAAATTCATTGAATAATCTATCAATTTGTTTAGAAAAATAATGATACGCATAATCTATCGAAATGAACAAAGTTATTCTTATCTTTATGATATGATATACCAAAATTCACAAACACAAAACACAGTTACAAACTCACTGTTCAAGGCGTAGAATACTTTGTTTCACGTGGTTTCATCTGTGAATCTACGGTTTTATATTACAGATGACACAAGATAGAATTTAGATTTTTGATGAAATGGCGGTTTATCACCCAATTTGCACCCAATGTAAGAGATGAGTTCCCACTGGATGAGACGATTTGCCAAAATTGCGTTCTGGATTCTCATGGACATACACGATTTCCAGCATATTTCCCGAAAAATGATTTCTCCCACCAAAAATCCCGCATGCGTTCGGATGTCCCGAAATGCGGGAAATTTCCCGCCATTTGGCAAAACTTCTGATTTACGAAATAGTAATTTTCCTAACTAGTGCGGAAAGACACTTTACGCATGAGTTAGGAACAATATTTTCTCTACAAGTGTAGGATTAAATTGATTTGTTCAATTAATTATTCATTCACATATATAGGAACAACTAACAAGAGAAATATATTCTCTACCTACTGATTATTAGTAATAGCTATTGTGAACTTACAGTTTGACGCATTATGTATTGGTTCATTGAAAAATTTCCCGCACTAGTGTGGGAAAAATTTTCCGGTAATGTTGCGGGAAAATGACACTTCCCAAACTAAATCGCGGTGAATCACGCACACTTGTAGAAAAACAAATTGTCAGAAAACATAAACTCATAAACATAGAACAAAGAATACACAGTTCGCATGAAATGTGTTCTATGACGTATTTTTATGTTTTATGAATGAAACCATTATAAGCTTAGATCCTGTATGATCTAAGATTATAACATAAAGACACAAATTTCGCTTCTGTTCTGACTGACGAATGCAGTTTCATAGTTTATGTCTGTGAAGTGATGACGTAATATTTCCAATCCAATGAGCGTTGATTAAGCGTAATTAAGGTGGCTAAATAAGCGTAATATATCAATCAACGCAATGTGACTTTGGCTTTACTTTATTTTTCATTTATTTCTATGAATTAATAGTTATTTATACACCAAGCCAAGGTAGTTAATAAAGACTATTACTATTATGAAAGCACTTCTTTTCAATTCTAATTAAATTTAAGAAGCCATGACCATGACAGTATAATTATTATTGATACTGTGTCACACCACATTCTACTGAACGAACTGGAGCAAATAGGTATCAGAGGTATACCAAACGACCTTTTCAAGTCATATCTAAACAACAGGCATCATCAAGTTAAAATTCATGAATATCTCAGTGATCCTTGTTCGGTGGAGTGTGGTGTGCCACAGGGCACTGTGCTAGGGCCAATACGTTTCATAATCTATATAGACAGCTTGACCAGAGTCTTATCTGAGGGAGAGGTGATTTGCTATGCAGACGACACTGCTTTGCTGTTTGAGGATGAGTCTTGGAATTTGGTGTTTAATAAAGCTGAGACCGCATCATGTTGAGTGAAAAAATGACTTGAAGAAAACCTTTCAACCCTAAATGTTGATAAGTCCAACTTCATGTATTTTGCTTTAAAAAAAAAGAACCTCTCTGAAAAAGATTGATATTTCATAAACCCAATTGTAAAGAGATGAATAATTGTCAATGTAATTTAAAAATTAAATTTAATGATAGAATCAAGTATTTGGGAACTTACTTCGACCCACAGATGAAGTGGAACGATCACATTGAATATGTTGTATTAAAAATTAGAAAGTTATATTATAAATTCTATTAACTTCGACAAATTTTGGATAGGAACATCAGCATTATCAATATTTATAGGGCTTTGGTAGCTTATGCTAATGCCATGACTCCTTCAAATGTAACAAAAAAATACATTTTAAAAATTATAATGTTCAAAAAGAAAACATTTCCTACTGACAAACTCTTTGATGATGCAGGAGTTCTTGACATTTCTCAGTTATACTTAAAATCTGCTGTAAGATATTTATCAAAAATGAATGTACCGAAAGTTTATCATGTTATAACAACTATATATCAGTAACAAATGAAAATGTAATTGTTCCTATTACATCTCTGCTATCACCCCTTCACTAGCAATACCAGTCAGACGAACTAGACAAGCCCAGTCAGCACATCCTTTCATTGTCAACCTCGAAAGATGTCGAACAGCACTTTATCAAAACTCCTTCATCCATATAGAACGGCTAGGCTCTGGAATTCATTGCCTGAGGAAGTATTCCTAACAACATATAATCTCCAGAAGTTTAAAAAAAATCCAATACCAACCTCCTGTCCCTAACCTCCCTAGGAACGCAAGATGTTCTTTGAACATTATAGGGATTTCCTTTCGTGCGCTCCAAGCGATAAAAAAAATTCAACTAAGTATATTTTATATAGGAGCAAAAATATATAACATACTGCCAAACGAACACAAAGGCAAACCATACGAAAAAAGTCCAGATATTAGTATATAAGACGATTCATGTAAATGTGATTCAATAATGACTGGTGCACACACAAGCTTCTAAAGCTCATTTTGTACCTAAAAATATGACTAAATAAACAATATGACTGTATACATAGCTATTGAATAAATACTCAATACTCAAATACTCAAAATACCTATACTATAGATTCCAGTGCCATTAATGCGAATGTCGCAGGTGACCATGTCTTTATTGACTAGAGTAGTTCTTAACTGACGAAAACTACCTTGGTAGTAAAAACCAAGGGGGTACACCATGGAATTTTAAGTACTTCAAGTATCCTTTTTAATACAATAAAAAACACACGCCACAAAATGGAGTAAATTTTAAAGCTAGTGGTGGAAAGAATGTAATAATAGGGCAAATGGGGCAAGGTGATAGGGGCCATCAATATAAGATAAATACTCGGTATTTTAAAAGGGATAGATATATCGAGGAGTATCCGATCATAAATTTTAAATATATATATAATTATGTATGTATTATTTATTTCACATATCTTCTGTACTCCACTTCATAGCTTCTTCTTCAGCAGCTCTCTTAGAGTTTCTAGATTCAAATAGCTTCTTCTCATAACCATTTGATCTATCCACCCCATCCCACCTATATCCTGGTTGAATTCCAAATCGGTTAGGCTCAAAATCTCCCATGTACATTGGTTTATCTAAAAAATTTTGGGTGTAGGATAAATAAAGCTCATGTTAATACCTATGACATTATTCCATTTTCAGCTTCAATAGATATACTTAGGAAGGTATGATATATCCAAAATCAATTGCAGAATATCCCGCACCATGCGGCGTAGGCGGGTTCAAAGTTCCCTTTGAAGTGAGTTTAGGTGCGGCACAAATTTCTGCAATTATTTTTAGATAAACTCTTACTGCTTACTAGAATACTATCACGGAGAAAAAAATCCCTTACCCTAATAAGTGAATACTTAATAGTGGCAAGTAAAAACTTGTATACTATTTGGGGCAAGGAAACAAGTTAATAATCACAAGAATAATTTTGTTATCAAAAATGTACTACCACTATTAACCTGTTCCATTGAATTTCAGATTGATAACCATAAGTGAACACAGCACTTGTCATTAGTGACTTATTCACTCATCATTAGTGACATTTGGGATTAGTCACTTATTTACTTGTCATTAGTGACTTATTTACCTGTCATTAGCTAGGTACTAAAATAAATGACATATATTGTTCTCTGAAAAATGATAACCTTGGAAAAAGACAAAAACTCGTGCATTTAAAACATTTATTGTTTAGCTATGTTCAACCATCCAGAAATCACGAAAAGGTAAGGCTGGCGACAAATAGTGAGACACTAGATACCGGGTATATCAGGATCATGCGCTGAGAAAAACGGTCCATCAGATGCAGTGGTACACTCATTTTTTCTTCAGTGATGAAGATGAAAAAAGTGGAATTGAATTCAAGTTCCATACTCATTAAACGTCACTTTCTCCCAATTGGAGTATTGTCGGATATGGAAAAGAATCCTGTATATGATGTCAACAATCATGTTCTGTTCTGGAAGAGTTATATATTTCATTATCTTCTTCAAAAGAATAACAGCTTATCAAGAACTCAACACCCCACGGCACACAAACAGGGAAGCTTCACGAATATATGATATACCACTTGTTCAGAAGGGCACTTGCATGACTTGGAATTTCAATTGTACTAGCGAGAACACATGTATATTTGACAAATGCTAAGATCATAATGGAGCCGTGAACAGTGGAAGTGGTCGCGTTGGGCGTGACCCGAATAATATATCGGAGATGTCCGAACGGAGAAGAGATGTAAAGGCAGGTGAGCTGTCATTTGCACCAATCAAATTGATAGATTGTCTTCATTGATGAGTTCGCTCAGAGCAAGTGATTTTGTCTCAGAATAATAATTTAATAATGGTGAGTATTGATTAACTTAGCCACCTCAAAATACATATCGATTTGGTTAATACCAACAAATGTCCTGATCACTTAAAGCGAGAACATTGTATGAGAAATATTGTTTTGCCTACTTCAAGTACCTTATTTTCCTACCGTTGGTGAAAATGTTCTGGTCACAAACGACTTTTTTTCAAGAAAAAGATTCACTTGGCCGAGTTTTCTCAGTTTAGATAGGTTACTACCATAGACCTATTAATGGTTACTACTTACCTGGAATACCAGCTTCAACTTGCTTTTTTTTCTTTTTCTTTCTAATATAAGCAAGCATTGGATCCCCGTCTCTCTCTTGTTCCTTTAAAAACTTCTCCAGGTCCTCATCATCAGCATACCTTGCTAAAGGTTTGCTCATCTCATGTAACATGTCTTCATTTTTCTCATTAGTATCTTGCACTTGCTTCAGACCTTTGCCCCACCTATTGATAATGTTCATATTATAATAAATATAACATTATACCGGGTGTCCCAGAATAACGTTCGTATGCTCCGGGAGGTAATTATGCAGATGAAAAAAAAATCCTATCAACATGTGTCCGGAAATGTTTCTAAGGGCGCTAGAGCCCTCTGAAGGTTGGTCCGTAAATGTAGTTTTCTTCAATCATCTTTATTATCATCGATCCTAGAATAATAAAATTTGGCACCACCAAAGGGTTATATGATCTTACAATTCGTTTCGTAGAAGGGAAAACATGATATGGGTTTTATTAACCAAATAAAGCTATGCCAACGTACCAAAGGACCCCGCACAAAACCATAGGGAATTGGCCCACAGTGGGATTTGCCTGAAATTCACATATGTTATTGGTATGAAGTTTCTGATCAAATGTTTTCATGTGACCAATCCTCTGAGACCAAAGATTCAGCTCTCAGGGTCGTATTTAGTATAGGCGCCAAATAAACAATGACACTTTTTTTTTCAAGCCCATGATTTTTGTATCTCCCATTATAATTTAATGTTGCGAAATCTTGGCATTTGTCTTTTAGCACAAGTCCCCTGTAAAACATGCCTTGCCCTACAGGGCCGTATTTAGTAAAACAGTATTTGCCAAAGTGCCGAATCGAATTGATTTTGTTATTACTTTGTTATTTCTTGTCCTATTTCAGTGGTCGTTTGAATGTAGATTTCTTTGTGTACATAACAAAATTGGTCACCATCTCAATATTCATGATGAAAACATTTTATCAGAAACTCCATACCAATAACATCATATGTGAATTTCAGGAAAATCCCACTGTGGGCCAATTCCCTATGGTTTTGTGCGGGGTCCTTTGAGTAAGATCTCATGAACCGTTTCGAAGTTATGAAGCAAATACGATTAGAAAATTATTGTAACTTCAGAGCTGTCTAGCGCCCAAATTGAGCAACTTTGTACTGAGGTAAGTTCGCTTGTATAGAATTGATTTGGTCTGAGGAATATGTGGTAAGTTTCTGTAAAGACCTAATTTTAGGGCCACCCTGTATATATTACAGATTTTTATCTTTAAAAACGAACTATAATAATAATAATAATAATAATAATATAAGTTTTTTCAAAAACGTTTACATAATAATAATAATAATTAATAATTAAACTATGGCAACGACGTCGTTTCGCGTGGAGCAATTCCTCGTAATTAATCCACGCTAATCGCGTCTACTCTTTTGTGATCAATCCATGAATGTTAAGACATCAACGGCCACGTTCTTTGACTGAGCAGAAGATGGAATGAAAAGATCCATTTCTTGTCGGCAGAACAAACTTTCTTCAACTGATTTTGCGCGAAAGTCTACTTGTTAAAAATCATTCTTGAATCATTGAAGGTATCAACAGAAAAACTCAAACAGAATTAGTTATATTTATGTGTACCAAGTGCGTTAGGATCTATAGTAACGCTTGTTTAAAAGGAGTTTAAAAAGCGGTTCATTACTCCTAGCATTTTCTTTTCGTTTTTCTTCTCATGGTAGGCATGGCATTTGTTCATATTTTGACGTTTGTTTAATATTGCTGTCATAATTTGATTTAGTAAATGTCATTGCTGTTTTCTTTGTGTAGTCTAATAGAAATAATGGAAATTAATACGAATTTACCCAAGAATATCGTAAAAAATTCAGACAAGGCTTCGATTAATTTATTGCCGGAGAAATCCAGACTCGTGTATATACGACAATGATTATGAAGTATTTAATCAATGGAAGTTGAAAAATGAAATTATTGCCATAAATGAGACCCTGTCATTGGCGTACTTTCAAGAATTGGTATGTAATTTTATGCACTAGCGGGCCGTAAAGTGCAATTTATCGCCCGGTTTTGCGGGCGTTAAGTTGCACTTTACCGCCCGCGGGCCGTAAAGTGCACTTTACCGCCCGCTGTTCTCAGTTTCCTTATGTCCACATATCAATTCATGAAAAACATAATAATATGATCATTTTCCTAAATTTTTCGGGATTCGTTCTCCTCGTGAATTGAACATTGCACCTCCTCGATTTAACCTTCATACAGTATTTGAATGCCTATATATTGTCCACGAGTCAATAGATTCAGATCAATGAAGGAAAACTCTTCTTACCAACATTTATTTATTAATTGACAATTCTTTCAATATCAAATTATGTCATAAAACTGAACATTAAAATTTTATGTTAATAATACAGTTGGTACAGCTATTAATGCTGAGATTTGGATATTCATTTTTTTCTTGAAGACAATTATTGGAACTTCTTGGGAGCTGCTGCCTAGTAGAGTCCCTGTATATAACTTAGACAAGAGTCCGGACACAGCTATACTTCTGTCCTTTTCTGTTTTCAAAAAATGCATTGATGATTGAATAAAGGAATAAGACATATATATCGAGCTCTGTCTTCTCAATTCCCCTAGTATCAATGATTGTCAGAAACCGTTTTGAGGGTTAGATTATTTGTCAAACCGTTCATAGCCGTAGGATGAAGTGAGAAATAGGGCTATTTTAACTAGAATAACTATTAGATTTTCGAATAATGAACAACAGGGTGTTCTAATTTCCAATCGATAATTCTCATAATCAATTCCTGAGTTGGCTATTGCAAATTTTTGTCATCAGATATTTCTTCCCTTCATTAGATATAAGAAAGATAATTCAAGTGTTCTACGTGGTATCACATAATTATAGTCAAGAAAATATAGTTGTTTTCTGTTGGGATATAAAAAAATAGAACATATTCAATTGTTTCAATATAATTTTCTCAGATTCTCTCAATTTAATAACACTCATCAGAAATAAAAGTGACAAAATCAAAACAAAAATATATTTGATAGCGAGTGCTTTATTAATTGTGTTTCCCACCTCTTCCTGCAATCTACATTCACCTGTACATTTAGAATTTGATCTGAATTAATAACACCAATAACACCGTGAACTGATGATATAGCACATTGCAGTTTCCCTGAATCTTCTAGTTTTGATTCGAGTTTTGATTTCAAACTTTCAATTTCTTTCCGCATCATCTCATTCTCATTTTCTTTCTCTGCGAACGTATCATTCAGTAATTCCCAATACGATGACGACGGGACTCTTTTTTTGAACGTCTCTATTTCATGAATTGACGGCACAGCAGACTCTTTCAATTTGAAATCCATCAGCTTGAAAAAATCTCTATCAAAATGGGCCTAAAATTCATCTTTCTTGTACTGTTTTTACAAGTTAATATGAATATTCACCTCACATATTGCGGATTTCTTGAAATCAACTTTCCATTCTGGACGTTTCATTGCATTCTTCCATGATATTATCTTTAAAGGATCATTCGAAGAATCGAATAACTTGAATCCCTTTTCTAATGAATTATCGCAATAATGTACGCAGCAGGACATTGGAATAATTCAAAATGCTAAATGTTGGCGGTCATAAAATTTCAAAGTGACAGTGACAGACATTCGGAATAATTTAAAAAAGCGGGCGAGACGACTATGGTGTTTCGTCACATTGTCAGGTGGGCAAACCAAATGAAACAAAATATTAAAAACCCCAACGGCTGTCAGTTTTGTGTCCGGACTCTTGTCTAAGGTATATACAGGGACTCTACTGCCTAGTATCGGCATTGCTACGAGAACAATGAGTAGTAATAATTTTAGAAGTCGATGGTTGGTTTGAATGATCATCTGGTATCATTCCGATATCATCGCTGGCAATTTTTTTAGCAATATTGATTTTATTTGAAATTGATTCTTCGATATAGCTTTCAGCTACTGTAGTTGATTTCCATCCAGCATGTCTTTTGATATTGGTGATACCTACCCCCGCATCAGCCAATAAAGTGGCTGAAGAACGCCTGAAACAATGACCGGTATATTCTTTTGGGCTCGGTAGCTTCAAAAATGTTGCAATTTTCGAAGGGATCTGACCGAAAATATAACAACTTGTTTAGTACATTTGTTCTTCTTATAGAATACAAAAAACCGCCTATGTTCAGTATCTGCGGGTCGTAGACTAGCGTATTTCCTATAAATACCCAGATAATTAACTGGTTGGTTTTGAGTATCGATGACTGTAAATGTTCGTTGAATTTTAGTTTTCGATTCTCTAATTGTAATCAATAAAGCATCAGTTAAATCTTGAATGTCATCAACCATAAGATTCGTTAATTCTTCTCTGCGACAGGCACCATGTATTCCAAATATAAGTGCAACCTATTAATGAATCAATCATCAGTTTTGAAATTTCTCAAAGAATAAATTAGGTGGATCATACCTTGATCATTAAATATTCGTCATCTGGAGATTTTTTCAAAAAGAGTTCAATTTCATTCCTCTTCAATATTTTAGACTTCTTATTGGCTTATATCCATCATTCTTTCTTTTCAAAAATGCTATCAATCTTGGGTACTTGCTTATGTCGGTATTATTATGCAAATTCAGAGTTGATTTCAACATCGAATAGTAAGACCACAAAGAGGAGGGTTTACGATCCTTAGATTTCTCAAAAAAATATGCTAGTAATACATCTTCTGTGATCATCTTCACATTATTTTCATCACCCCATCTGATAAATTCATCATGCGTCTTTTCATATAATTTCTTTGACTTTGCCGGTAGTAATTCCAGCTTTGCATTTTCCGCTGATTCTAATATATCCAGCGGTATCTGATAAACTTCTTCTTTATCCGATTCCATAATCTCGCTTTGTCACTAATTTTAACTTTTCAGTCAAAGAATGACAATTCAGCTTGTTTATTAGATTGCTATAGACAACAACCATCAGCTTGCTTGACAACGTCAAAATTAGGTAGGTATATATACTGGGTATGCATATTGTGAAATTCTGAAGAATGAACCTCTTCTAGAGATGAAAGTGTTTAACTATTACGATAATTGCAATATTCGTACGATAATTTTTATATGTAAATCATCCATGAACATTACGCTTTCCTTGATTACTGAATTTATACGAAACAAATTAAATTCGGGGGAATATTAGTTTATCGAAATCTGTAGTCATTACTTTTGGGAAAATAAACCACTAGTGCATAAAATTTTGTATGTATCACGTGCGTGAAATGCGTTTATGGCCTTCAGCGTGTAATGGCCCTCGGCTAGCGCCATCGGGCCATTATTCACGCCACAGGCCATAAACGCCTACTTTACGCCCTTGATACATAAATAACTATTATGAACTACAGAAAAAAACAATTAGCGGGCATTATGATTCATAACGCCCCGGATGTTTTGGGTCTGTTAATAGCAACCGTTGCCAAGATATTAAAGCATTATTAAAGCAGTATAATGGACAAGTGAAAATTAAATAACTATTCGCGGTCGGGAAAACATGTCTAAACTTTCAATCTATGCCAGGAGCTAGGATGTTTTCACGTTTTCTCCTAGTCATTAATGTCATCTCAACGTACTAGAGGAACAGGACAATTTTCGTTCAACCAATTTCTCACAGCAACGGCACTATGGATAGGTAGGTAGCGGTAATCAAGAGGAAACTCATCAAGTACATTGGTAAACTGATTCTGCAAGAATCTTAGAAAACCGGCACCATTCAAATTTTCATAAAAAAAAGTACGGACCGATGATCTTTTCATTCAATATGCCAAAGAAAATATTCACGTTTGAGGAGTATTGCCTCTTACATTCTATTACCCAATGAATGTCTAATATTTTATGACTATACATCAACACCATTTGTTGTAAATGTAGCTTCATCTGTCAGTATTCTCTAGGTATACATATTGATTCCATTATTTATTAAGTATCTCCAGCTTCAAGGGTATGAATAAATTTTGGCTTGAAAGGTTTCTCACCGGTTTTTTTATACATTGCCAAATAACAATAGCTTTTAGAAATATCCTATTCTGAATTTGGCTCATCGGTAGTAATACTAGTAATACTATAAATGTTTCAAAATATTCGGTTATACATAGATAACTTGTTGCATAATTATTAAAGTTTGACAGTTGGAATTATCCGACCGCAAAGCGGGATGATTATTCTGTTAATCTAACACTATGGATTTATGCAGCATCAATTTACAATTATCAAGTGACAATTATCAATCAACAATTATCAAGTAAAGAGTAGCTAAAATATTACCATTTAGGCATTGATGAAATAAACCTCTGGTGTACGCACTTCAATCCTTTCCTGTTTTACAATTCCTTGATTTTCGCCTACTTCGATGAACATAACATGGCGTGGGTGAATGTCGCTAAATTTAGTCTGGTGCCGTACCAAAATTACAGGCATCAATGTGACAATTGTGACCGAATTGTGACCAATGAAGATAGGGAATACATTTTGCGATTTAGCCGCATCAAGGTTGGTAGAACTGATGTTGATCATAAGTTCCAAGGTTGGTAGAACTGATTATAATTTGTATAAAATAAGCATCAGTTCTACCAACCTTGATAAGTTCTAAGAATCACGCCATCTAACATTCGATATGTGAACCCCACGTCATCGTCTGAAATTCAATTGTTTATATCAAGAACCAGTCTGACGAAGCAAATGAAGAGTGAGCGCACCAGAGGTTTACTTCATCAATATTTAGGCAACCCAAATTAACAATTGAAAATTGAAAATAAGCAGTCGCAAAAGCCCTTACCAGCCCATTCAAAATAACCATAGAAATTTTTTTCATATCATATTCGACACATTTTTGGGATATTGCTATCATAAGTGGAGGCCAAGACTCAGAAATAATAGGAATAATGAGAAGTAAAAAGAAACAAAAAACGGGAAATGTTTTGAGGTTAGTTTACATCATAGGATGGACCAATCCTCGGCCATCTACAGGGTCATCTGCATACTAGTTGCGCACAATTAGGGTCCCTTGATGGAAATTGACGTTAAAGTCATCATAACAGGGTACGGACAGATCATAGCTGCATTCTTTTTTAATGATCTGGAGATTTTAGTTTTGTCTACTGGCATCCCTGACATTGCTGTCACGTCACATCCATGGGCGCTACAGAAAATCATTCAAAATTTTAATTATAGTTATGTACAGGGTATTTACTTGTTGAGGAAGATCATATGGCGAACGAGTTTTGTAATCATGATCCGATTCTATTCAAAATTGAAAGGTATGTGGGTTGTGGGTTTCCGGGGTTGGAGATGATGATTGTTTCGTCAAACTTGGAAAATTCAAGATGACAGATCCAATATATAGCAAACGAAATTTCTAATCATGATCTGATTCTATTCAAGATTTTTATCTGAGGGTTTTCGGGGTCGAACTTTATGATTTTTTGCAAAAATTGTGAAATTCAAGATAGCGGATCCAATATGGCGAACGAAACTTGTAATTATGATCCGATTCTATTCAAAAAATCAAAATTGGTATCTGGGGATTTCCGGAGTCGGAGATTATAATTATTCCGTCAAAATTGGGATATTCAAGATGGCGGATCCAATATGGTGGATGAGTTTTGTAATGAAGATCCGATTATATTCAAAATTGATATCTGGGGGTTTTCGGGGTAGGAGATAATGATTGTTTCGTCAAAAATTGAAACATTCAAGATGACGGATCCAATATGGCGAAAGACATTAGTTTATATAATTATCACTCTTCCACAAATAGAAAATATGTAGAATGCAAGAGTGAAAATAACGTGCCTATAAATTATACTGTGTATACTTAACGTATACCTACTTCTTTGTTACTTTCATCAGTTAATTACCCTGGTATACAGTCTAAGAACAGTCTCTTTTGGTGAAATATATTGAGCTTTCAGTACAATTTATATGTTCCCTAAATCACAAAGATTATCCTGGAGTAGTAAACTCTAAAACTAGAGGATTGTTCAGCTATATCTTAGTATAGTTGAATCAGGAATTCCATATAGAAATTACGTATGATCAAAAATCTAGTGTTTATCCCCAGAATTGAATAAGGATGGAACTATATAACTGTTTCACAAACACTTTAGAGTGAGAGGAGACGAGGATCTGTCCGTACCCTGATAAGATGACTTTAACGTCAATTTCCATCAAGGGACCCTAGGCACAATAAGAAAACCTGGTTCAATGAATGTAAAAAATTAAAAGTTGACCAACCTACTACTGGTGATAAATGATAATTAATAATAGCAATAAAAATAGCAATTTCAACTCATAATTGATAATTGTAAATTGATAATTGTTAATTGATGCTGCACAAATCCACTACCTGATGCATTTTGATTGAATGGATTCTAAAATAACAGTATCCATGTTAGCATGATTCTATATAGACATGGCCAAGCAAAATATCTTATAAGAAATAGACACTCTAGGTACCTATAGTACCTACCCATATACTATATAGTAAAATCTGTTGATCTTAACTCAATGATTGATATGTTACCATCATTTGTGCATCATAGTGGGAAAAAAATGCCAGAAATAAGAAGTTCAGCTAGCAGATACAAAATTTGTCTGACTGGCTGACTTAAGCCCTTGCATTCAAGGTCAAGGTTGAAAGTAAAAATCAGTGAACATGTTATGTTGGTAAAACAGAAAATGATGAGAAATTGAGAAGACCAATATTGATTAGAATGGTCTCTAGATTGCACAGTAATTTTTTCACACTGTTAAAAGTGTTGAAATGTGTCTTAGGTCACTTCCTACACTGTGCACTTGACTGTGCATTAGTGTTGTGGAAGAATGTCATCAACCTAGGCTTTTTGAAATAACACACTTCATTCAGAACCCTGAGGAATATTTTGAAAATGTATGACACATCACACTTCACATGAGGAAATGACACATTGCTTTTTTTGCTAGTAAGCAAAAAAAGTTCTATTCAACAGTATTCATACAAAAAAGTCAAGAAAATGAATGAAGCAGATTTTGGATGTAAAATATAAACCCCAATTTGTACATCTCTTCAATTTTGTAGAACAAGTGGTTACTAGAATACAACTTACAATAATTACTTTCATTGAACACCCTGCACATGATCCAGGAATCCCAGGAGACTCACCTAGAATATTTAACTTCCATTTCTTTTTCCTTCTCCCTTTTTTTGGCATCTTCTTCTGGAGTTGATGTCTTTTTCTTTCTGGATATGGTTACTGCATTTTTACCTGACACTTCATTTGACATATTCTTGAACAAGTCTTCCTCTTTTTGTTTAATAGTGATTATTTCTTGAACAAGATCTTTGGCATTTTGGAGCCCTGATTTTTTGCCACTCATTGTTCTCTCTATTTTTTCAGAGAAATGCTTTCTTTTTGGAGAAAGGTCATTTTTTGTTTTACTTCTTGTAGGAGATTCCCTGTTCCATCTGGACACCTTAGCAAGAGTGGAGGTTTCATTATTTCTTTTTGCAGGAGACAGATCTTGCTGATGTTTTTTTGAAGATGTTGAATTATCTACTCTTCTGGATTTCCTTCTAGGGGAATCTTGAAGTCTGCTCAATTTCCTTGGTGGAGATATATCTCTTGAATTTAGCAGAGAGGAATGATCAGATTTCAACTTTCTTGGAGGTGATATATCATTTTCCATTGACCTTCCTGAAGGAGACATTTCATTGAACCTGTGAGTTCTCCTAGGAGGTGATATATCATCTTCCCTAGGCCTATGTGAAGGAGACATTCCATTGATTATGTGATTCCTTCTTGGAGGTGACATATCATCTCTCCTTGACCTTTGCTGAGGAGATGCTTCACTGACCCTGTACATTTTTCTTGAAGGAGGTGAATTATGCTCTCTTCTTTCTGTATTTCTTGGAGATTTGTCATATCTTTTTGTTTTCCTTGGAGGAGATATATCATCTGGTTCTATCTTAATTCTTGTAGGAATGTCTTCCTCATGGATTCTTGATTCTATTGATGGTGATCTATCATCAGACAGAACTTTCCTGATGGATTTTCTTGAAGGAGATATAGCTCTTCTTCTAGATGTATTTGGAGGATGAATATTTTCATCCCTTGTGGATGTCCTATGAGAATAATCATATTTTATTTCACTTGGGGAAGATTCTCCATGCCTATTTACATTTCTAGCTGGTGAGAGATCCTGTTTCTGACTCCTTATATCTTGAATTTGTTTGTTGCTCTTTCCTGATGCTGAATTACCTTTTTTGGTTTTCCTATAACTTGTATTCAATAGTTTGTGTTCTATGAAACTTGTCTCTTTACTTATTTTGAAATTAGTAAACCTCACATCTTCCACATGTTTATCAGAATCAATACCTTGGCCAATAGGTTTCCAAAGGTTGTCTTTGGTTTTTTCATCTATTCTCAGAGAGGGTGGACGGTCGTCGATAACGGATACAATTTGAGGGGCATCTTCATTGGAGTTGGCCAAATCATCTTGAATTTCTTTAGACAGAGCAGCATCTATATCATCATCGATGATTTTCAAACTATAAATGAAAATATAAATAATTATTGACGGAAGTGCAGGATTAAATAATTCAATACCTTTTTCCTATAACTTTTTCAGATTTTATTTTCTTCTTTTTCACTCCCGAACCTTTTCCAATTCCCAAATATTTTTTCAAATATTCCTTTTGATTGATAGTCGTCATCCCGTAAAACTTTGCAAGACGTAAACACAATAATATTAAGGCACTGTCTACACGACCGCCGCGGCGGTTGGATAATGAAACAAAAACAACCGCCGTGGCGTGAAGGATATAATGGAAACACCAAAATTGAAAATCAATGGAGTGGATGTCAAAGTAAGAGACACACGGGTAATCTGTGGAAGTGGGTAAAGTAAAAGGAATAGGAATTCAAAAATAGTTTATTTTGACGTCATTGACGTAGTTGCCTTCCACCACCTTCACGTAAATATTCTAACCGGGTTTAACGGGATGAAAATATATCCCTCTGATATTATGAAATGTTGTCATATAATGGAAACGTCAAAATTGAAAATCAATGGAGTGGATGTCAAAGTAAGAGACACACGGGTAATCTGTGGAAGTGGGTAAAGTAAAAGGAATAGGAATTCAAAAATAGTTTATGTTGAAAGAATGTATTTTCCTTCCTCATGTTTCACGGCGGTCTTCTATATAAAAATAGGTAACCGCCGCGGCGGTTGTTTATGTTTCAATATCCAACCGCCGCGGCGGTCGTGTAGACAGTGCCTTGTTTCATGTAAGGAATGTTGAATGTTTATTTGAGTTCATTGTTTTTTTTTATCCGATATTCCAATTTCTCCACAATAAAATTATAAGCATACCTATTAATAAATAATACCACAGTATATTATCCTATTGTGCTATTACACAGAGATCAATTCTTGGTTATCCTGTGTCTCTGCCTGTAGTGCCTATTGCTAAATTTTACAAGTCATGGTGGGTGCTTTGAATGTAGGAATATGGAAAAAAGAAAAATTTCGAAGGATCAGAACGGAAAATATTGATTTACAAAGTGATGTCTGTGAATTCAAAAAACATGTCCAAACATTGTTGGAGAAATCTTTGTTGGACATAGGTAAGTTTCAACTCTCTCAGTTTCAATCAAAGATTCATTTATTTAACCTGTGAATTGAATATCATTATGAAATCATGAAATTCCTGTGATTTTTAATAGTATGCTTGTTCTAGAACTCACATTCTGTGGCGTGATCCTTGAAGATGGAAATACCCTGTCCTCATATGGCATAACCAATGATGTTACTATTCATGTCTTGGAAAAACCTCCATCGAAACCAGCTTCTATTGAAAAACGATTGACCCCAACAGAAGTAGTCAATTCTTTCAGAACACTTACTTTGTTTTCTGGGTATAGAAGTGCATTGCAGGTAAATGTCAATATAACAGTACTGACATTCAATATATGGTTCTATTCAAATTCCAGCGCCTGTCTCGGAAAGATGTCCTTGACAAAATAATTGCTGCAGCACCAGGTCTGTCTGATGACCCTGTAGCTCTAGCATTGATCCAAGATCCAGAGTTGATAGTTTACCTTTCTGACTCTGAATCTGTTGGCAAAATGGCTCAGGAGCACCCCATATTACTAGATGCAGCTAGTCATATAATATCTCATGTCCATGAGGAACAAGCAAATGTGAACCCTAATCAAGCAACGACCAGTACAGGCTACTCCTACTCCTTGGAAGCTCTGTCAGATGATGATGATATGGATTCCAGTTCAGATTCAAACATGGCACAGAATTCCCTAAGTCGCAACTCTTCCTTCAATGCAATCACAGCTGCCCAACTAGCAGCTGCTATAGCAAATGCTACTAACACCCAGTTCAACACAAACAGTGCAGGGGTACCAAGCACCACCAATTCTGGAAGCCAGCTGATCACAAATGAAATGTTTTCAAATGCTATCCAGCAGGCTTTTGCTTTTGGAGGTGGGCCTGCAACTCCCAGCTCTAATGTTAATAGTGGCACTAGTGCTCCTAGTGAGGAGGACAGCCATGAGGCTTCATTGAGGAAGTGGCAAGCCCAGTTGCAGCAGATGCATGAGATGGGGTTGGTTAATGATTTAGTCAATGTGAGGGCTCTGAAGGCTACCAATGGGGATGTTAATGCTGCTATTGAGTTGGTTTTGAGTTTGAATAATTGGAATGATTGAACTTATTTTTGAATTTTAAATATTTCATTTTGGTACCTATGTTTATGGAATCATTACATATGGGAGTATTAAGAAAGGATGGCATTTGGCAACATTGCCACTTGCCGCTGAGGGAAAGGATAATAGTGGTTGTTTCACTGTAGGAAATGAACTCAATGTAAACACCTGGAAGGAATCCTGGAAGAGTGAGGCAATAAGATTGTTCAGGCAACCCCCAGTGGTTACCATACCTATCTCTTTCTATCTTATGTTAGTTGGCATTATTTGAAATATTTTCTCGTTTTTTGCTATTATATAAAAATAGACGTGATTGAATGTTAATATTCATTTAGAAAAAAAGAATAATGATGCAATCAATTATTTTTTGGAGAATAATCGATTTTTCTTAATTGACTTGAAAGTGAAATTTCATTTTTATTCTCACAGGATTAGGAAGTCGAATGAATACAAAATTGAAATTATATATATACTAATTCAAATGTCACAATATTTTGTACTGGGTGAGTGAAGCTCATATGCCTCAGCACTATCAGAAAAAAAAACCATATAAAAAATTTGAAAAGAGGTTTTTGAATGGTATTGAGTACATAAGATCTATTTAAAGTCTAATCTTTAAGGGTACCTATTTTTCTATGATCATTTCACTATTAGGAAGGTGTATGGAAGTTGAATAAAAGGAGAATAAAAGTACAATGTATGGACGAATTGTTTCATAAAAGAATGTACACCTTTATTTTTTTCCCTTTCTGGAGAAGGAGAAGCTCCAAAGGCAAACCTGAGATAACAATATGATGCAGCTCTTGAGTTTAAAAATTCGAACTTATAGTTTTTACCTTCAAAATGTTTTTTTTTAGTACCTCATCAAGATTGTCATTTTTACTTTTTGTTTCAATGTTTCCATTTTTCTTCTCAATAGAATAGGCCTTCTTGTATGAAACAGTTTGGGTTTCATCATCAATACACTCTGAAACTTATTGGGAGCTGGAAGTTGTAGGCGAATCAATGCCCATATGAAAAACATCGTCCTTGGAATCCAAGTTATGAAACATCCACACACACATCCACTGACACATCCTGAAAATAACTTACTATAGTTTTTCTAAAAATCTGCACAATTTTCAACTTACCCATGAAAGACAACTTCTGTTTGTCTTGCTTGTTTTTCATCGAATGAAACACAATAAATAACCATTGTTTATTAATTCAAAATCACAAACCTTTTCAACAACAATCAATTCACACCAACAAATTCAGTCCTTTTGAAGAAACAAAACACGCCAAATTCAGAGATAGAAGTTTTGTCTTCACTTTTTTGCATGTTTAGATGGAAAAATAGGTCTCAAGTACTCCAATCATTGGATAAAAGAAAATCTATACACCAATCCACCATTAAACAACACGAGTGTGAAAGTGACAGGTTACCGTAACACAAGCTATCTTTGTTGCAGCTGCCCGTGATGTCCTGAAGCTTAGTATTGTAACGAAAAATCTCACACTTGTGAATTTTCGTTCTTTTTCGGTGATACTTTTCATTTACCTCGTATACTGTTTTTCGTGAGAGCTCGCTGATTGGTTTATTAGCTGATATTCGACAGGTAAGTATACCACATGATCTATCATGCACGGCACATGGTTGTCGCTTCTCATGTGTTTCTGACCCTTGTGCTTGTGGCTTGTTTCATTCAGCTAATTAAATCATTTTTCTGCTCATTTTCACTATCTATGTCTGCTTGAATTCTTGTTCCAACTCTCAGTGTATTATTTCATATGTTTCTCAATGTATATTCGACAGAAAGGTGGTAAATTGAAATTGTATTTTTTGAATGAAATAGTTTCTTGTAATTTTGGTAAGATTGGCAACACCACTGTATTATCGAATTTATTCCGAGCGGAATAATTTAAGCAGGGAGATAGAAACGAAGAATCGCTCTCTTTTGACGAAGATCCATCCTAGAGATAAGACGTCGAGCAACTTTTTCTGAAATGAACAAAACTACAGGTAACTGAATGGATTGCTTTTGAATATTGTTTTCTTTTCATTATAAATTCTAACTTAAATATTTTCTATTACCTAGGAAGTTTATTTCTATTTACTGAGGAAATTATTTTTCTTCATTAGAAAAATCATGTGATTGATTTTCCTTTGGTGAGACACCATGTGGTCTCACGTTATCTTTATCTTTACCTTTATCTTTGATTGGCAATATCATCCTAGTATAGAAAGGACTAGTATTGACCAATTTTATCTTTAAACTCATGAACGAGTATTTCATGAGTGTATTTTTGATTTTTCAGTGATCAAAGAGAAATTGTAGAACTTGTAATTATTATGAAGTTAGTTTCTGTCGGATTTTTTCTGCTTTCAGTTCCATTGGATCCTTCCAGATGTCAAATTATTTCACGAGGTGAAAACCAAATTTGGAGATATTAGAGCATTGGAGGCATTCTGATAATGGAACTGACTGAATATCTGTAGTCTGAGGAAACAGGATTTTCTGAGCTGAATCCAGGATTGACTACGTTCTGAGGTGAGTAGCAAACTTTTATGAATCAAGACTATATGTCATATCTGTTGTAAAATATTGCTTGCTCACTGAAGAACATGTCAATCCACTCTGTTGGCTAGAAAATCGTGTTTCATAAAGATTATAAGTTCGATTGAATAATTAATTTGATTTATCTGCAAGATTAAAAGCTACCTACCTTTTCAAATAGAAATAAACTTCAATATCTTAAATATCTTAATTACTTAACTTGATGCCATTCACTTATCTGCTAGTCAATATATCTTTTTCTTAATTAATTGAATTCAAACAACTCCGAATTACTCTCAGTATCTTAAATGTTTTATCGTTCATTCTATCTTGTATCTGATTTTATCTAATTTCTAATTTCTCTTTTTGCGTGATATTGCGTCTTTCATTATCTCTAGGATGGATGTTTGTCAAATTTGCAATTCTCTTCTTGTTAAATATTATCTTATCTTATTTTATCTTATCTTTCCCTATATTGTATATCATTGTATATATTACTTCCTGATGAATATCTGTATATATGGTCACTTTATCTTTACTGGTTATTATCAGTTTTGTAAAATTCTGAAGAACTTGTAAGACTTGTTTTGAGTCTGATGGCACTTTTGACACTCCATTGAGGTTTCACGATCTTCTAAAATCACGTATCAGACAGATTCTGTTCGCTCTATTGCTTTTAGCACAGCAGCAAGAAACGAAGAGTTCCTGCAACATTATCCAGTGGATTTGCAAGACTTCCAGAGAAGGAAACCTCCTGGGACATACGAATTGACCCAAGTTCACCTGGTGGGGAAGTAGTTCGATGAACTGAGTAGTTGAACTCACTCACCAAGGAGATGTCAAGGTCCGACAGGAGGGAAAAGAACCATCCAGAAATTCAGGAAACTCTTCAGGAAGAAGTTCGATGGGAGTAAGTGTCCCTCATTGCTCGAAAACAAGTCCCAAGTTCATTTCAATCAAAACTTTGCAACATTTTTGTATATATATATTTTCTTGTAAATACATAGTAAATTTCACATGAAATTAAATTGTTAAGCTTGTGAATTTGTTTTACTGTTCTTCTTGCATAGATTGTTGGTTTTTGTATTTTAACCAGGAATAAAATACATGGCGCTCATTTATCTTACCTTATCTAATTTATCTTATCTTACGTATATCTTATCTCATATTATCTAGTAATTATCTAAAAAAGGATTCAGATTTGCTAACAGCTTTCACTTACTCACGACCTCCCGAAATTAGAGCAGCTCATAGGCAAAATAAAGATAAATAAGTACAATCAATAAATTTTTATAAGTACAATAATTTTTATTGTACAAAATTAAGTTTTATTGGTACAGTATATTGCTGGGCGATTTTGGTGCCTAGTAAAACAAATAAATTTTTTTTACTAGGCTGCAAAGTGGTAGATTGACTGCCGCGGCTGATACCATCTGGAGTTCAGCCGAGGCAGTCAATCTACTTTGCTGCCATTTGAAACATAATTTTTCCTCAAATGTTATAAAACCAATTTTGTGTAATTTTTTTATTGAAAAGTCCATCATTTTGTGTTCACCAATTGTCAGTGTCAATTTTGATTACAAATTTCGTTCAAATTACTTGGACGTTGCATAGCAATAAACTTTTTCTGCCTCCAGAAAGTACACCTTTGCTGCCTGTTAAGTGACATAGAAGAGTCACTTTCTATGCCGCTTGGAGAAAAAGGTTTTTACTGCCTTACACTTTTTGTAGCATCTCACCGCGCGACACCAGAAGGTATAGAGATATAAAATTAGTAACGTACAGGGTTATTTATTATTCATAATCATATACAAAAACACTTACCATCTAGAAAAAATACCACTTTCACACACTCAAATGGAATCGCTAAACCGAGGATGAATTAAAATTTTTCACTTTCGAATAATTCGAGTTCTATTTTTTATATCACCTGAATCCGCGATGATATGTAGAATGATACTGCTGATTGGTGTGATTCATCATTCTGATGAATTTATACGTCATCGTTTCAATCGATTAATTCCCGAGCAAGTACGACTAATTTCGATATCGATAGTAGGTATACGGGGTGGGGTGAAAAGAAATTTAAAATACCGTCACTTTGGAAATAATGCAATATTGAGTTCATGATTAAAATCTATAGCTGTCGAATTAGACATTTTCTGTCAGGAAATACACACATTTGTGTGGATTTCGTTGATTTTTACTCTAGAGAGAGCGTTGGCATTGGTATTAGCAATTCTTTTTTGTATAGTATTTTGTAGTCATATTCGTCAAGTTTCAGTCTCGAGCGTGTAAGTCTGGCATTCGGGCCTTTCATGGAAAAAAGCCTATAAAGTGGTTTGTGATCGCAGAATATCTTGAATGTTCGTCCATGGTACGGACGGATCGTCCGTACCATGGACTGTAATAAAACCTAATCAAAAATTGTTTTACAGCTCGAATATTGTCTGGGTTTGGTTTTACTCAGTCTGTAGTTATGATATGGGCTAAATATGTTGTTTCCTTCTTCGCATTTATCAAATTAGATCTTAAAATTTGTTTCTCAGGCGTACTTTTTTCAAGTTCACCATAATATGTTCTAGAAGTGAAGTTGGGAAAATTACAATATCATCTAGATAGACCAGACAAATATCATTCTCCAACCCTCTCAGAATGTTGTCCACAACCCTCTGAAAGGTGACTGGAGCATTTTTGAGGCCGAAAGGCATGCTAAGATATTCGTAATGCCCATTTTCCACATTATAAGCGGTCTTTTGGATGTCATCTGGGTGCATTTCGATTTGGTGGAAACCACTAGCCAAATCTGAGGTGGTAAAGTAGTTGCATCTGCCAAGTTTATCAAGTACATCGGTGATATTGGTAATTGGGTATCGATCATCCATTGTTAATCGTTTACCTTACGATAATCAACCACGATACGCCACATCTTTTCGCCGGAGACATCAGCTAGCCTTCTTGGGAACTACCCATATCGATGATGACTATGGTGAATTG